TCATGTCCTTGTGATTCAATGTAAAATGTTGAACTGTTGAAACCAAATCGCTGAAAGTTAAAAGAAGCATAAAAGATTTTCACTGTTTCATGGAAGTATTCTCTATGGTTGGAGAACACCAGGTATATCAATATAACATCCATCTTAATCCATTGTTCTACTGCATTAAAAATTTCAAGGAAATTATGGTAGTATTATGGATATTTTTAGTGCTGTTTAATTATTCTATTACTGTAAGATAAACAAGTTTTCCTCTTTACATACATAGTAGACATGACATTAAAAGACTGAGTTTAGAACATTGTATTATGTTTAACTGTCTGACATGTCAGTAGAGTATAACACTGACGACATGACATGTCAACTCAGTCTAAAACTGATTTTCTATTTAACCATGTACTATATGTTGGTTGGTGGTTTATATTAGTCTCCTGGAGCTAAGGATATGACTTGTATAATGTAAGATTCTTATTGTGATCTTTTTATTTTACCTTGCAGAAATACTGGAACAAAGATTTTCTCATAATACATCAAAATTGTTTGTTGCTTTCAAATTTAAAATAGGATGAGATTATTTTTGAAGAGACATTCTTTCTGTAATAATTGTAAATGAGCATCCCAGTTTGATGTACTCTATTATATATTATGCAATGTGCATGGTCATCATAATATGGTAGAATAGTATAACATATCACAGACAGTAACCTGAGATTAAAGGAGTAAAGGACATTTGTAGGATTGAAGGTTACTTTCCTGTTAAGCTGATTTGAAGGGAGAGTACCTGATTTAGAGGGAGAATATTTACCTGATTTGGAAGGATAGTATTTAATAGATTTGAAGGAAGAGTACCTGATTTGAAGGGAGAGTACCTGATTTGGAGGGAGAATATTTACCTGATTTGGAAGGATAGTATTTAATAGATTTGAAGGGAGAGTACCTGATTTGAAGGGAGAGTACCTGATTTAGAGGGAGAATATTTACCTGATTTGGAAGGATAGTATTTAATAGATTTGAAGGAAGAGTACCTGATTTGAAGGGAGAGTACCTGATTTAGAGGGAGAATATTTACCTGATTTGGAAGGATAGTATATTTACCTGTAAGATATAGGTGACTCATCAATAAACCAGTCACCTGTAACATCATCAAGATAATAAAATAGGTCACCTTTAATATACTATTCATAGATTTATTTCAACAGTTTATTTGGTTTAAATTACATCCTACACATTATATGAACTAAAGCATATGATTCAGTCAGAAATTTTGTATATGGGATAAAAGCCCTCAACAATTACCAATATATATCATCTGTCTGGCAAGGGTATCTTGAATAACTAACCTAAGCTCCCAATTATGTCAGAAATCATTCCAAAGTCCCTACTAACAGCTTACTCTATGACTATCTCTAAACTGGTGAAAACATCCTCATGAATGACAGTTGTCTGTTTGAACTTCTTGATTTTCTAAAGCTATATGGCATATTTTGCAATCGCAAGTAGAGGAAGCTGGTGTCAAATTATTGAAAAAATCAAAGGAGATGAGAACAATTTACAAAAATATGTTTGCAGCTTTCTTTTAGCTCCATATTTGATTAGGATAATTAGAAGAATCAACTAAAATTGCTCTTCTGTCCTGTCTGCTACATTGTGAGTATCGCCTTGATGAGATTTATCAAGCCTCAGAATAATTGATGTCTGTTGTATGACAGTAACCTAATCCAGCCAGACTAGTCTGAGATCTGAGCTATATGAGTAAGACATACCCCACCCTGACCTGTATAACCTCAGAGATAAACTGGTATTGTTAGTTTTATAACAATGTTATCAGTAAGACAGTAATATTGATAAATTGTCAGATGAGATTCTTTTGTTTTCTGTATATACTCATATTCTCTTAGAATCCGGCTAAAATTGTGGTTTTTCTTACCTCCTCTTTCTCTGGGTATGTTTTTAGGTGTGGTTTATTCCATTTATTTGATACAAATATCAGGTATTTGAGAATATTCCTTTCTGAATCTTGATTTACCTGCAAAATTAAGGTCAATTCCATACTGGATATAAGATGCACATTTAGGGTAAACACCCAAAGAGATCTGTATATATGGAACAAAAAAACCAAGGTCACAAGGTCAAAGGCTGAACATGTTAAATATTCCTTGACATTTGAAAATAAGAGAATAGGCTGATGCCACAGTTGTTGAAATATATCTTTATTTCTGTTTTTGCCCCCACATGAGTAGAAAAGTAGAAAGGGAGACTCAAATTTCATTTTTTATGATCTGAATGCACTCTGCAAAATATCAAGGTTTTATTGATGATTTGTTGATATGCAAATATTTTGCCATTAAAAATCAATATTTAAATAATTTAGCACATTTGAAGTAAACATAGCCTACAGACATGTTTTAGTGCACTGTATTGATGTATTGAGATAGATTTGTTAACCATCTTAAACTACACTATTAAATGTATTATGTATGTTTTGAAATTAAAGCCCAGGGACAAGTAATTATCAGAGTATATTAGCTCGTTAAGTCTTGAAAGTATTATTAACTTTGATAAAATCTAACTGTAGGTTATAGCATCAGTGCACTTATCACTTGTCATGTTGTAGGTGTTACTAGAGTTTGGTATTGTCAAGAAGTTGATATTTTTGCTGAATGTATTGTATGGTTATATAGGCCTTGTTTATTGGAAAAATATTCTTAAGATCTGTCTTAGTAAATACATACTATTATCAAACTGGACATGTATGTTTTAAAGGATTGGGGAGGATTAGAAAATACACACGATCAGATTTGACTATTGCAAGTGATCAAGTGACGTAACTGCCAATCAGTGACAAAGTTCTTCTGATCAAAGTTGTTATTTGTCTGTAAAAACACAGCCAAATGTTTATTTTCTTAGTTGGGATAAGAACTGGGAGTCACCCGTCACCTCTAACATCAACAAGATATCAGCTTGGTAATGTATCTTGTGGATTCTTCACTTTTATATGCACTGTCATGATTTTGAATTTTAAAAGGTTTAAATAGAGATGCTAATATAGTTATATTGGTTGACCTTTTTGTTATTCTTTGTAAACATGATCACAAATAATTGTTGCTTTTTGGTGAAATCTTACACTTAACTTGAATTACATTGTTATTTGGTATTTTGTCATTTTTTTGTCATATCTCCTCGGAATTTAATTTTTGCTGACATTTTAGTTTTTAGCTTACCAGTCATTAACATGGTGTACTGCTAGTTGCTGAAATGAAGACATTTCGTTATTTTTTTTATTTTAACATTCTCACTTCGGAAATGATAGTTGTACTTTTCCCACGTAATGCAAAGAAATAGTGTGCCTTGGGACTCGGGACAAACTCTTGCTTTTATCACTCCAGTTTGTATGAAATATACATAACATTCTTTAAACTTGTTTAACTTTCATCTTGCATTTTCCCACTCAATTCTCTATCAAAATTAATGTATTTGGTTTCAACTTTGAATTTTTGTCATCATAGTCAACAGGTTTTAAAGTGATGATTTTTAATAAGATATACTGTAAAGTTAATATGTACACTGTTATTTTTAAAACAACCATTACTAGAAGGTTAATTAGAAACTAAGCTGACTTGTCTTGAGATGGTGTAGGCGTAATCACATTATATATCTACCTTATAGGATACAGTTTCTACTTTACTCAGGTGTAACCACACCTTTATTACAAGCTCATAGGTCAAATAAGGGTCAGTTGTTAAAGGTCATATGACTGACCAGTGTCAATATTAGTTTAGGTCTAAAAGGTAAGGTAGACTGTAGGGTTTGTGACAATGTTAATTTAAGATGAATAAAGGGAATGGGTGGGATGACAGATGAGTAACATTATGCAATATCCTATATTAATTATTGAACAATTAAAGATTACATTGAAATACTATAGATATACTACCTCTGAGATTATTACATACTACATTTAGAAACATACAGGTAACATTATCAAGTTAAAACATAGTGTAATAAACTCTACTTCTAAATGTCACTTAGAGATTATAATATATATCAATATTGAGATTATAGTTGGATAGAAGGCTAAAAGACAATTATTTGGTTAGAAAGTTAATATTTGTATGTGATGTTGTCTGCCTTTTCCTATAGACCACATACACATTAGTTCTTAAGCAGTTCTATAAATTGAGTTTAAATTCATAGAACATTGAATGAAATTACAATTTTTGATAACATGTATGTATGTATTCAATTTTCCAATGCAGGCTTTGTAATTTTGCTTTCTATGGACTTTTCATTTATTGACAATAGAATCAGTAATAAAATAACAAATTTTATGCTTTAGATTAACAGAATTTCCTTGTCTCATTACAGTTGCTGATATAGATAGAATAAACAATGCTTACATCATTGCAACAGACCCGGGAACAAAACGTAAACTTGAAAAATTTACAACAACACAACATATCATCGACCCTGTTGATATGACCAAACTTTTTGAGGACAAACGTACATCAGTGCATGATAAGGAAAATATTCATACAGAATTAGTGCTATCAGATAATTCCATGGCTTCTCTGGAAAAACCCCGCCCACGTGTGAACGGACATGCTCGAAACGGTAATGTGAACGGTTCTTCGGAATATATTGAAATGAACGGATATGAGAACACGCCAGTGAAAAAAGGCAAGAAGAAAGATAAGAATCAGAAAGCTATGAGTAACCCTGATACCTTATTAATAGAGAATATTGTGAAGGAGGGATTACGTAATGGACAGACAAACAGTCAAAATTCTTTAAATTTACAAAAAGACACCATGTATGATATGGATAATATTTTGCATAGTACTGAAAATTCTTTTGAGATGAACAATTCCGGTCCACATCGAGAAATGGCTATTGATGTTCCTGCTAATTTTGTGGGTTCTGTGAAAGTGCCGCCAGTGTATCCCCCTCCGTCATCGTACAACAGTCTTCCCCATAAAAAACATAATATCAATCATGATGCCATGAAAAATACAGATTCCTTACAAAATATTCACAAATCTTCCACGCAACAACCGAGCAACGAACAATTAGAACGACTAAGACATCATCAAGAAGAGCTGAGAAGACGTCGTGAAGAGGAAGCCAGGCACAGGAAAGAGGAAGATTTCTTACGAACCTCTTTACGTGGATCTAAAAAGCTTCAAGCGTTAGAAAAGCGTGTCCCACCATCAGGAGTAGATAACTCTGGTTTTGCTGAAAATGAAGTAGACCTATCAGATGGTATAAGTTTAGAGAAAGCTGATATTAATGATAATAGATATATGAAGACTAATATTGGTAAGAGTTTACATTCAAACAGAAAGAATCATTCATACTTTACAAGGATATAAACTAAGTTTTGTGAATATGCTGTCTACCAGGTAGTTCTGTTCCTCCATTGTTATTTCCTGAATTTTCCATACGTATATACTGCTGAATTATCAGAACCAATGAGGAACTTTCAAATATAGTTTTTATTAAATATCTTATAGTTTCCCTTTATTGTCCCGACTGGATATCATACAGTTAATTCGTTAAAGATAAAGTATTAAATATGCAATCCCAAAATTATAACTACTTTTTAAATTTTTCTTCCAGGAATTGAAGAGTTATTTTCCTCGTTGAATCATATCCGCAGTCGATTAGATACAGCGGAAAACAAGGACAACATATCATTTTTACGAACATTATTTCACAACAGTCAGTTTCAACAAGCTGTTACAATACATAATAAAGTTGTGGAAGTGACCTCCCAATCGCCACCCCCTTGTGCTCTGGCCCATAATTCCCAGGATATAGTTCATGATGTGTTTACGCTGTGTGGTGATACACGGGAACCATATGTAGCTGAATTACTCACAGTGCTTAATAAACCAAACTTTAAGGTGAGTTTTCAACACATACTTTTGTAAAGTTATTAACCCTTTCATCACTAGGGACTGTTCTACCTAAAACATAATTACATGATGTAATACCCTAGCCATTGAAGTGGCCATTACCTTGTGATACCACATAAAGTTAACGTCATACACTTTAAGTCATATTACTTGGAGTTGAGGGTAGGTCTTTATGACTGTTTTATATCATTTATACTTAGTGGTCTTAGGGTAAAGGTACCGGTACAGAGAATTCATACATTCAAACATTTGCTCATTCATTTATTTATTCATTCTTTAATATGCTGAATAATTCATTTATTCACTCATTTAATTTATTATCCTTTATTCATTAATTCACTAACACCAGTGATATACTTCATTTATTTATTTACCTCAATTTATGATATCCTTCACTTATTCATTCATTCATTCATCACATGATTAAACACTTCAATTTTTTCAATTCATTAATTCAGTCAATTCAATCTTTGATTTATTTTTTGATTGATTTATTCATTCATGTACAAATTCACTAAGAAAACTACTGCATTAACCAATTGATTGAACATGCTACTAATTAAATAATTTTTACTGCACAATTTAAACAAGATAATTATCATGCATTTTATGCCTTGCCTTTTAGATATCATTTGTTCTCAAAATTTTAACTTAACAGTGTCTAGGCCAAATTTCCATATTGAAATATTTCTTTTGGGCTGATGCTGAAGATATCAAGGTCAATTCAACATTCAACCTCAAGTCCAGACAGAATTCTTCTTTATAACCAAATAATATTACTTCTCTACACTACCAGAATACAATGAGCTTATTACACTTTTCGAGCTTTGTGTTTTGCTAAATCTGGTCAAGAAATCTGACATTGAAGACAAGAAATTTTAGATATTGAAGTAGAAGGAAGACGTGTTCCAGAAACATGGAACGCTACACAAACTTCTTTCCAATCCAATCTTTATAAGCTAGGTCTCCACTGAAAAAAAACAGAAATTTTACTTGAAAGAGAATTATTGATAATCCTGTTATTATAAGATGGAAAGATTTATGAAAATATCATTTTAGAAGCTAGAATGTTATAAATCATCTTATAAAATCAGATTACTTCTTTAAAAACAGATAATTCTCTACACTACCAGAATACAACTAGCTTATTAGACCTTTCTTCCTTTGTATTTTGCCATTCAAATCAAATTTCATTTTGCCAAATCTGGTCGAGAAATCTGACATTGGAAGCAAGAAATATCAAAGATGGATGTGGAAACTCTATCTGTTCCTCAGACATATACAAAAGTTACACAAACCTCTTTCCGATCCAATTTTTATAAGCCAGGTTTCACTAGAAAAAAAAGGAATTTAACTTGAAAGAGAATTATTGATAATCCTGTAATAATTTGAAAGAATCTCTATAATAAATCTGTTCTTTGAGTTCTTTGAAGAATATTTCAGATTAACATTAACTCATCGTTTGAACTGTAGAAATCTGTGAATTATTTATTGGAATGCTTTGAAGTAGAGGAACAGTTATTGAGTAATCACATACATCATTTTACATCATCAAATGAAAGGGTTTATTGTTTTATATAAAAAATATGAAACTTAAAACAGTAACTGTCCTGCAATTAAACCTTGTATAAGGTTTTATAAGACATACTCTCTTATAGAAGTACTGGCCTAGGTCACAGGTAGGGACTGTGGATTTCAGCATTGGAATACATCAATTTGATAGGAAAAAACCTACTTCTGGAGAGATTTACAAGATAAACAAATAATTCAGAAATGCAAAGCGATTATTTCTGGGAGTTAATGAAAGGGGATCTAATCTACCATAGACAAGAACATTACTCAGATTTTTATTCCTTTTGTAAGCAGTCACCAAGAAGTAAGGGAATTCGTCCTGAAGTTCTTTATAAAAGCGTTTTACAATCACAGAGGCATTTTTAGTTGTAGAATTGTAGGAAACGTGTAAAATTACAAATTTCAGAGGCAAAAGGCACCCCATTTGATATACTTTAAAACGACCTTGCTAAATGAAAAATTATCTCTAACTTAAAATCAGGATATAATAGATATAAGACTGGCTAAGTATCTTTGACCATTATTAATATCAGTTATCTCTATAGTAATACATGAAAGGAAAATATAAGACATAACATTGCTTAAAACTAACCAGTGCCTATTGCTGAAAGGCAATTTGTTATTTTATCCACCACCCTAACCGCTAAAAGTACAATGAGTTTCTGTATTTGAGATGCGAGATTCCACCCAATTTGGTTTATTTTGTCTGGTAAAATAAACGAAGAAAAACTGGTCAGGGGAAGAAATGTTGTGGTGTAAAAAAAAGTTGCCCTGTGTATTTGTTTAACTTCCTGTATCAATAGTGTTTGTGTTGTTGACAATTATCTTAATATTGGCACACATACCAAATACTGCCACAGTCACATGACCTTCTATTGATTGTTTGATTGGTCGAAATGTTGATGACACGTCTGAGTAAAGATTGATTACAGTTGATAATAAAATGAAGAATTTCGCGTAGAATGAAATTGTTACATTGTTAAGAAGTTTTATTTCATTTAAATTGTTTAATTTTTACATCTTCTCTGTGAACTTCCGGAAGTTTAAAATTTTCTACATGTATTTTACGTTATATAAGATTGATGATGCCAATGAAATCTTTTTTATTCATGCATCAGTTTGTCCATTCTGATCCAAGTCTTTAAGTTCATTTAAGCTTCAAACCAGTTTGTTTACAATTAAAACAAATGAAGTTGATGACAGTTTAACTTTCAGGCCATCATCAACACTCTCTCATGCCTTAGTAATGAAAATATCACGCCTTATTTCAATCATTAGTTGGAATGCCCCATGCATGTTCAGAGATTGAGACAGAGAATATTCCCTGTCTTCACAATTCCAAACCTGTTCCTTTAAATCCATTCCTGTAATTCCATGTAAGAAATTGAACCACACTTGTCCCAGACATTTTAAATCTCCCCGTTTCAATTAGACACCTCTCAGTTACAGAGAGATTTACTACGTGTTGATATTTAATAGAAAATCACGTTTCTGGAATTGGGTTTGGTAATGGGTTCACTAAATCAATGAACTAAAGAAATCTTCCCTTCTAAGTAATTCTAGTAACTGGAATATCATTATGTATTGAGTTTTCATGGGTATTACTGTGGAGCATACTAAATCTCTCAATAAATACACATAATGTGTTGAATTGTTTTCTGCTGCCTGCCATATTTGTGGATCTGCATGGTTTGAACCAATTAATGATATGCTTCCACCAAAAAACAATTGTCAGTGTTATAGAAGCAGCTGATGTAATAATGACTATCTGAAATGTGGTTTAATCTACAGAAGTTTATCTTATATTATAGTAAGAGAATTCATGAATACCGTGCTGACAGTACCAAGAAAACAATCACTAGTTTCTGAAGACTATTTACATATAATAAACCTAAATCAACTCCTGAAAATATCTAACCATGGATATCTAAAGATGGGTTCCCTTATTTTTATTTATGAAAATGAAAATACTAATACTTATATGAACAGAAAGTGGAGATGTTCTAATGACTTGGAAAAATACCAGTTTGTCTTACATGTCCAAAATTACTTCATAATCAACTAAATTAGAAGAGAATTACCACCAGAATTCCAATGAGTGACCGATCAAGAAAGGTCAGAAAGTCTTGTTTTGTTTATCCAGACAGTATATACATGTAAATTAAGGATTGGTTTAAACTCTTAATAACATGCAATAAGAACATAATGATATGATTAAGAATATATGATAATTCATTAGAAACACCAATTAATCAAATGGTTTGCAAAATTTGACACTAAAAAAATAAGGAAACCCATCTTTAAGAGAATTTATGATTACCATGTTGATGCTACCATGAAAACAATCACCAGTTTCATGAAAGCCACTGATGTAATATTGACCTTCTATAATGTAGTTTATGTGGTCAATTACAGCTGTCTATATATTATCAGGGGTATTTGTAATATGTGTAAACTTAGTTAGCTACCAGACAGCTAATACTACTGGTTTTATTCTTATTCCATTTCTTACCAGTTGTAATCAAACTTTGTCTGAGCTTTTACAATTATTGATATTCTCTTGTTTTCTCCAGCTAACAGGTGTCATCATAGACTTAGATTTCCTTCAGGTCAAAGTTTTAACCCAAGACCAATTGCCCAGACTGGCAAATTCACAGAATATGAAATTGTGTTAAATTGACAAACACATATTGGTCTATGATGAAAAGGATTTTAAGTTATAAAACAAAAGAGTAAGCTGATAACATTGTTCTGGCAAAATTTTCCTTATTGCACAGCATTGCCAGGTTGTTTTTCATATAAAATGTAATGCATAGGATTTCATTTCATGACAATATTTACATGATTAATATCAATGACTTATGTCAACGTGATACTGATATTCAAACAGCAGTCTCCAGAAATTTTTGGAATTGAAAATCTGCTGGTTGCTTCATCTTATTAAATCAATGGTTATAAAGTAACTCAAAAGTGTGAAAAAGGCCTATTTTAGAAGCAAAGCGCTACAGCAGTATGATCTTACAGTTACTCTAATGTGTGAAGAGATAATGTGTTCAAGGTCATCTGAGTTTCACTCACTGTTATTGAGATTCAACTCTATTCATGGTCAGAGAATGAAAAAACAAACAGAAATTTGACTGTCAATGTTTATTCAAACCTCCAGATTGTCCAAGGTGTCAACAACATCGTTACTTGACCACTGGTTCAAACTGATGTATCCCTGCTTGTCCTGGTCTCGTCCACTACCTCAGATTAACTGAAGATTACCTTAATCCTCCTTAATCTTTAACATCATTCAAAACTTGATCTTTCAACTTGGTTCCCATAGTAACTACATTTTACATCTTCACTCTTGGAAACAGTTCAGTAACTTTTGGTTGGTTGTACCAAATTTGAAATGAGTCAAAATTGACCAGACGAGAACAAAACTTTGGCAAAATCATTAGGAAATAAGGTCATCACATCATGATAAGAAGTCACATTCATTAATTCAAATTTGCATTCATTCCATCTATTACCTGGTTATCCATTCACTTATTCATTCATTTACTCAACAGTTCACTCATCTCTCATCCCTTTCCTTATTATAAACTCATTCATTCATTCATTCATTCATTCATTCATTCATTCATTCATTCATTCAAAAAAATCACATTTCATAATACTTTCATCCTTGCCTCCAGTTTTCCAGTTGCCTACTTGTTCATTTCATTCATCCATTCTAAAATTCATTCTTTCATTAATTTATTCATTCCATTATAGGGAGTACTACACTCACATTCATCCATTCATTTATCTGACTATTTTAGGGTTTGCTTCACTCCCATGATCTGATAGCTGAGACCCAGGTAGATGCTATAACAGAAGATGTCCAACGTGAAGATGTATTAGACTATCCCTTGTTACAGTATGGTGAAGATACAGTGAAACTTATACATTTAGAAAAATCTAATGAACCCTTGGTAAGTAATGATAAATTATTTTATAACAGACTAGGTACTAGGCAGAGCTAGATAATTGCAAATACACAAACGAGGTACACATCCTAACAAGTTGCTGATTTCTTCTTTTTTCTACTGTATCCATAATCTAGCATCAGACATGTTTTGGCTTTGCATGATAGCTTATAGATTTGGACACAGATAATGATGTCAACACAGAGCCTTGAAGAAATATGAAGATTACCAGAAGAAAACAGCCCATCCCCTTTTAATCTCCCCAATTGCTTCATTGAGTATCAGAGCTAATCATATTTGGGAGAAGTTGGTATTGAAGTTAAATTGATCGTGTTTTTAGTTTCTGAATTACACTGGAAAGAACTTCATTTTGATAGAAATTCAACTGAACACTTAAACAAATTAAATTCATCATGAAAAGTCATAAAATGTTGATTTGATATTTCAACTTGTTCAAAAAACATTACGTTAAGTTAAATTTACGATACTTTCTGAAATCATTTGTAAATAATGTAAAGTGTAATAGATTCGCTTCTAGCATGGTACATTACTTCTATTAAAAAAACTTGATTTAATTTTACAGTAAAATACTGTTCTATTTAATTTCAATTATTTGCTACGATAACTTCATGCCTTTGGGAACAAATTTTTTCTGTTTTGGCGAAAGCTAGTAATTTAAAGCCATTATTTAAATCAGTTTACAATAGAATCATTTATTTAGTCTAAAATCAAATTATCTTTTGTTTTCAAAGGAACTTGTTTGTTTTAATTTTGTTCGGGAAAAAAGGTTATTGAATAACATATCCTTATAGGGAAGGAAACTAATGCGTTGTTGAATAACTATCTTGTCAAAGTGTTGACAAATTATCGCAACAAGATTTTTTTATTAACAATTTTATGACCTACCATATAATTCTTATAGAACATTTTAGAATATTTCATGTGTATGTTCCAATATTTCATGTGTATATGTGTATATTCAATATTTCATATGTATATTCAATATTTCATGTGTTTATTCCAATATTTCATGTGTTTATTCAATATTTCATGTGTTTATTCCAATATTTCATGTGTATATTCAATATTTCATGTGTATATTCAATATTTCATGTGTATATTCAATATTTCATGTGTATATTCAATATTTCATGTGTTTATTCCAATATTTCATGTGTTTATTCCAATATTTCATGTGTATATGTGTATATTCAATATTTCATGTGTATATTCAATATTTCATGTGTTTATTCCAATATTTCATGTGTATATTCAATATTTCATGTGTATATTCAATATTTCATGTGTATATTCAATATTTCATGTGTATATTCAATATTTCATGCGTATATTCAATATTTCATGTGTTTATTCCAATATTTCATCTGTATATTCCAAATTCCAATATTTCATGTGTATATAGAAATGCTGTCAGTAGAAGTTATAACATTGTAAGAAAACACATAAAAGATGACATTTAGAAACAATTAGAAGAGAAAATTAGTTTATGTCAAGAATTTATGAGAATTTGTCAAACAATACTTGAGAAATATAAATTCTATATAATTTAATTGTGGAGATAAAATATAGAGAAATGACTTTACAGAACACAATTGAATTATAACTCAAACCTGAAATTCTCTTTTAAAAAGGAAATCTGAGGCATTATTCACAAATGATTAAATTCCAAATGTTTTAATGCGAAATTGATCTTTTTATATTAAAATTTTGTGTTTCATTCCCGATAAAAATGTGTAATAACGCTGGATTCAAAACCATTAATTTACAAGAAGGAAACAAAAGTAATCCTGTATATGATTATAGTTAGGAATATACCTCTAAACTCTAAATAAAGTTAAGATAAAATACAGTAGAGTATAATGAATGATGCATTGTTAATTAATAAGATATTTCTGGAATGTTTAAATATATTTTGCTGGGGTTAAAGGTCAATATAGGTTATTCTGTATCTTGTTTATCATCATTTCAGTAATTAGATTCATTCTCTAGTTTATGATAATAAAATGATAAATTACTTTATTCTGTGACCATGTTAATTACAGAATACCATCAAGGTCATGATTCTTAAAAAACAGAATTTGTATGAGCTTTAAGAAATGTGTACCAAAAAGATAAAAACAAAATGTTAAGAATACATGTTTATCATAATGACAATAGATCAGATGAACATTAGGTAGCATCACATGTGCACTGTCTTGACATCTTTGCACTTTTGTTGGTGTAGCCCATATTTTAAGAAAATAGTAGGAAATGCAATTTCACTATTACTAGAGCATGTGACTCATTGTTAACATTTGCATTTCACTCTAGACAGTCTACTACCTGAATTTTTTTGCATTTCCTGAATTAAGTTTGAATTTCATTTATTTGAATATTTGTCTGTTACTTGGGATATAACCAGTTTATTCCCCAGCTTGTCACCTTGTCATGTTTTACTATATATCAATGTCATTACTGACATCTTCAAAACACTCTTCTGTCAGGGAGGTAGAAAAGTTAAGTGGATGAAGTCAGGTGGTTGGGATGTCGGTTAAAATTTAGCTTCAAGCTATTCAATGATTAGTTCGTGGATGGTCAATAAGTCAAAACATGAATCATCATTTGCCTACCAACTAAACAAGGTTACCATCCCACCCCAACTACTTCTGTAAAAATACTGCATTGTAGGTCTACTATATTTCAGTTACCCAATGGGGAGCAAAAAAAGTAAAATATTAATATTTTTCATTTCATCAAATTAAACGCTTGCAAGCTTTGTTGTCTAGAGATTGACAGTGTAATTATATCTTCTCTCTCTTTCTCTTTTAAATTCACATATTCTACTAGATTACAGCTTTATAGTCAACATTTAAACATATCTTATATATTATTCAGACTGTTTATCACGATCAGTTTTTCCCTGGTTTGATTAATTAAGGAAATTCCAGAGGAAAATGTCAACATATTAACTATAAGACCCTTGTCAGACTCAATTAATGTCTGTGTTAAAAACTCCAGAGTAGAAATGTCAAAGTATTATATCCAATTTTCACTCAATGCACATCAATCAGATGCAAGCACAGAACAGGATTTTATAGTTTTCTATCAAATAAATGAAAATTATATTTTATATATTTTAGGGTGCTACAGTGAAAAATGAAGGTGATTCAGTCATAATAGGTAGAATAGTTAAAGGTGGAGCTGCAGAGAAGAGTGGTAAGTAACGAGTTTTTTTGTGAATTTTCCAAAACATTGAACCATGTAATTAAAACAATTTTCTCAGCCTTGAATAAACTAAATACAATAGAGGGCATCATAAAAATACTGAAATTCTAAAAGATCATGTATAATACAAATAGTCTTGAGTTATCAATACCTTCTTGTGTTGCCCTCCCCTCTCATTTCCTTAGCCACGGAAAGAGATGAGGGTCATATTAATCAGGGACATTAGTGTAATATTTCCTCTAAATGCTTCTTTTATAAAAAATGATCAGATAGTTTTCTTGAGATCAGATCTCAGAAAGAAAGTGAGTCAGCAAACTCAAGGTTTATGTCTGAACTTTTCCTCGAATTAACACCTCAAAGTTTATAATGATTTCAATCCCTTTCCAAATATCAACTGTCCATGTTTTACCAGTTGACAATGACTGATCTGAATGTTAAAATCTTTAAAATGATGTCACAGTGAACCATCTAATCTATAATGAAACAGTTTTTACCATGTTGAGTATTAAGGTATATCAACTAAATAAGCAACTTACAAGCCTCTTGCTAAGCTCGTTCAGCTTTGTGGTATACAATATCCAACAAGGTTTCTCACTGTTAAAATAGTGCTTGATGCATTAATTACAGAGTGTCTGACAACTTACTGCATGAAACTCATGATAACAAATATAAATCTTACTGAAAAATTATGTTCTGATTCAATTCACAACCAAGGTTTTCTAAAATTCTTATATGTATCAGGGATAGCATCAATTTGCACCATTCCAATTTTGTCAATGACGTCTGTGGTTCCTGCAATTCGACTAAAACTAAGTATTTGATGACATCACTAATCGCATAGTGCCTTATGTGATAAAGAATATGTTGCGATTTTGATGTTATCAATCACATAGATTTAGTGGAATTGCAGGAACCATAGACGTTTGATTGAAAATTGGAATGGTGCAAATTGATTCTATCAGTTTCCCTGATACAAATAATATTTAGAAAATATCTTTACAATGCCTTTAAACCAAAATAACATTACTCTGAATACAAGTTTCAATTTAGTAATCACATGAACGTGTTAACCAAGATTTTATTTTGTTGCACACAAAGACATTTTGCAGAAAAGGGTAAAAAGGCTGATCTCAAAGAAATTGAAAGCCTAATAAATAACAGTTATGGAAAGTTGTGTGATAAATAGAATCTTCCACTCCTGTTTATGTCATATGAAATTTATGAAATTCGTTGCTATATTAAATATTTCCTGAGCCTTGGTGAAATAGATAAAGAAAATAATAAGTAACATTTTTTCTTGTATAGAGATTTAAAGTCATTATATACAGAAGAATTGTATTTGATATATTTTAAACAGTGGGGCTTTTATCTGATTCAATATTTCAATATCAACAGTAAGCTGTATACACTAATAACCTATAAAAAATATGTTATATTGATAATAAACAAGTAGAAATGTTATTCAACTTATATATTTTCAATATATAAAGGTCAGAGAAATAACCTAGTTTCCTATTAAAACAGTGGTTCCCAACCTTTTTCAGCCTTCATACCCCTGGAGCAATCACATGGACCTTTCACAGCTCTGGAGCTATCACATGGACCTTTCACACCTCTGGAGCAATCACATGGACCTTTCACCCCCCTGGAGCAATCACATGGACCTTTCACCCCCCTGGAGCAATCACATGGACCTTTCACACCCCTGGAGCAATCACATGGACCTTTCACATGGACCTTTCACACCCCCAAAAATTTATTTCATCCACATTTCCAGCATGAGATGTTGTGAGGTGCTCTCTCAATTCAAAATAAATTCTTCTCCTACACCCTCGTCCCACACCCCCAGGGGGGGAAAACTATCATAGCTTTCATTATATACGGTAATATTTATCATAGTTTTGTTCACTATTATTGACAGGTTGAAGCTCAACAGAATAGTCTTGTATATTGTTTATAATACCTCAATGCAATCAATTCTGTGGTCACTTCCTTTGTGAAAAATTATTTTCATATTATTGTGACAAGAATGATTGGGAATATTATTTACTACAAAGTCAGTTGAGAAATATGACAGAATCAATAATGACAGCTCAATACAAGATAATTTATAACAGCCTCTGGGAACCCCACTAGACTTCAAATTACCAATTTAATTCATGGTTCAAGAGAGTTTTTTGTTTATTTTTTCTAAGATTTTAGCTACTCTTCAGAATTGTGCAGTTTTTCTATTTTGATATTTTCTGAAAAACTGATTATCTTACTAAAATGTTGGTCCTTAAAAGCAGAGGGTGATAAAAGTCATTTGATTTTTCAAGGTTAAACTAGTTGTATTGATCTATGGTCAGTAGTTTAATATTGACACAGTGTACAGTTTTCTAGTATTCTCTCCTAACTTCACGTTTTAAAAATTAACCACAAATACACTCTCACACTTCCATTTTCTTTTCTTCATTTCGTCACGTTCTTCTTTAGTAACATCTACATGAAAATACCTCAAACTTGTCTAAAATATCCTGAATTGTTGCTAAATGTTGATTCTGATTGATCTCAGGTGCACTTTAAGGTGTTTATTTGCAAGAGATTCATTGTTACAAAATGATAAATTTTTAATCTGCACTCATAAATACTTCTTGATTAGAAATACTGTAACTTGGTGATAAATTTTGTTTTTTTTCATAAAAAATTAGAAATATATTTATTACAAGTCAATATTAATACATGTCTTCTCAATCTCAGGCTTGTATTTTTTGTATAATGTTTGTAGTCTGCAGACACTAAATGGACATGTTTGTATCTTGGAAGATGATTTTATTTGGAGGGTTTCCAAGTTGAGTTTTTAACTAGAGGATGACAATACTTGCAGTGTTTGAGATAATTGTTCTAATATTTAAATTATTTACATGTACTTTACATTCTTGTGTGGTATTTTATATGAGGTTGGTTTTGTCTGATAACAATGATTATACACATATGTATATACAATCAGGTTTCAAAAACAATTTCAACTTCAAATACTTGTAGAAATTAGTCTATATTCAATGTCTATAAGATCTATTTGTTTCAATAAAGATGAAGGGACTGTAATTCAGTTAAATTGTCTGATGGAAGCAGCAATTTGTATATTTGTTGATTTATATGTTTGAAATTTCATTTCCCAAAATTTCCAGTCTATACCCTTGAAATGAATTGAAATGATCAGTGTGTAGAGAACATACCATGTGTTCCAGAATAAAGTTTCAGCTCCATCTGTTTTGCAATGGCAGCTTCAACGGAAGCCTGAAATATCTGGCCTTACAGTTCCTCAGACGTGATATACAGATGGGATATCCGCACATCCAGGGCCATAAAGCTGGACCATTAAAGAGTCCATCAAGACATTACAGAATATTCTACAATGTCCCTGTGCACCATACGGTACCACAAAACAGTAGAGGGGTGGTCATTTCCCTTATTCTCTTGATTACAACCACTTCCAAGAGAATGGTCTGAATTGGAACCAGACGACTTTTGCTTTGGTTGTAATATAATATAAGCTGAATAATCTTTGTGTTTGTGGTATAAGTTTTAAATATTCTACACTATTTTTAAACTGTTTGTATTCTCTATCTCCAGGTTTATTACATGAAGGAGATGAGATAGTAGAAGTTAATGGGTTTGATATGAGAGGAAAGAATGTAGATGATGTATCAGAGATGTTAGCCAATATGTCTGGTACTATAACCTTCATGATTATACCAGTTACTCAAGAGGTTATACCACCCACTATCTCACAGTCCAGACAGTCAGTATGTATATTTATTATCTATTTCACCTGATATCACTCTAATAATGGGGGAGCCAATGAGCTCAGTGAGTTAGGTGCTTGCTTGATAACCTAAACAGGTCTTCATTTGCCCACATGGTGCAGAAAAGTAGAACATAAAACTCCATTCATTTCATTTTGATAAACTGAAGGTCCAGGGTTTAATCCCTGCATAGATCAAGATTATATCTTTGGAATTTTTTGTATATTACATCAGGGTAACTGAAATGGAAGCTCACTCACCGTAGGTCATGTATCATTGTGTGAGGTCTGGCATACCATTCAGCCTTCCAAGCCAGTTGCTTAACATTTATAAACTAGATTCCTAGCTGAATATTTCAGTTCTTAAGAGACAAAAATGGTTATGGATAATAAACTGTTGTGTTCAAAAGGAATAAATAGAAGTCTATATCCATAACAATTGTTGTCTCTTAATGAGCAGTGATACTTCTAAATGTCTTACAAGGATTACATTTATAGTTGTTGATTATGTTTCAGACTGTTCATCTAAGAGCGATGTTTAATTATGACCCAGAAGATGATATTTATATACCATGTCCAGAGTTAGGTATATCCTTTATGAAAGGTGATATATTACATGTTATTAACCAGGATGATACACACTGGTGGCAGGCATATCGTGAAGGGGAACAGGAACAACAGTCACTAGCTGGTTTAATTCCTAGTAAAGTCTTTCAAGAACAGTAAGTTTTACCTAGAATACTGAACTAAAGCTCTGATAATAACAAATCTCTGCAGCCCAATTCATTATGACATTATGCTTAAAACATACTATAATAAAGAGCACCTTGCAAGATGTCATGTGTTTCCACATACAATTCCTGATGAGACAAGTTCTGATTGGCTGTGACTCAATACATATTTTTCAACAATTTCCATTAATTTTTTTTATCTCTGTTGTTCGATTTATTATGACAATCATTTAGGAAAATCAAGGTGACATTGATTTATTTATCCTGTTATTGTGAAAAATATGACTTTGATCATCCTTTACTACATCAGTTGTATATAAAAACAAAATATTTAATAATTGTGTGTTGGTTGTGGCTTTGTGTTATAACTTGGTATAATTGGTTGTGTTTTAACTTGGTATAATTGGTTGTGTTATAACTTGGTATAATTGGTTGTGTTATAACTTGGTATAATTGGTTGTGTTATAACTTGGTATAATTGGTTGTGTTATAACTTGGTATAATTGGTTGTGTTATAACTTGGTATAATTGGTTGTGTTATAACTTTGTATAATTGGTTGTGTTATAACTTGGTATAATTGGTTGTGTTATAACTTGGTATAATTGGTTGTGTTATAACTTTGTATAATTGGTTGTGTTATAACTTGGTATAATTGGTTGTGTTATAACTTGGTATAATTGGTTGTGTTATAACTTTGTATAATTGGTTGTGTTATAACTTGGTATAATTGGTTGTGTTATAACTTGGTATAATTGGTTGTGTTATAACTTGGTATAATTGGTTGTGTTATAACTTGGTATAATTGGTTGTGTTATAACTTTGTATAATTGGTTGTGTTATAACTTTGTATAATGTTTTCAGACGAGAAGCAGCTATGAATGTTTTAACACCAGATGGTAAAGAAAATAAAAAGAAAAGTAAATCTTGTGCTTCTTGTGGTCATAAAAACAAGAAAAAAGGCAAAAAGAAGAAAAAATCTCTGTATGCTGGGTCTGGTGAAGGTAGGTGAAATATTTTTGTCAATGCATCAGAGTTACATCTTAGTGCAATATTTATATTATTAAATCTCTTTCTGCAGGGCCCATTTTTCACAAATTAAACAAGATGAAATCAGTACTTGAGGATATAGAGTTATCTCAGTGATTAAATTTAATCAATTCGTACAGATTGCTAAAAGCTTCTTTCAGTTTAAATTTTGTACCTTGTTCAATATGTTATGGAAGGTTATATTCAAGAGATTATGAAATATAAGCAACAAAAAATTTAATGCTACAGAAAGGCATTTCTTTTTTTTTCGCTGTATTGTGATAAAAGAGGTTTTCACATCTTCTTAGTTTTCATATACCTTGTATTTATTAGACACTGAAGAAAGTTTAACATATGAAGAAGTAGCCAGATATTACCCACAACCCAACAGAAAACGACCTATTGTTTTGATTGGTCCATCCTCTGTTGGTCGTCAAGAGTTACGAGATATGTTAATTAGTTCTGATGTTGACAGATTTTCTATCATTGTTCCTCGTAAGTTTATTTTACAGTTCTCGAAAAATGTCAGGATTCATAATGGCTTTGAATGGTGTCTCCTGACTAATTCAAACAACGTTATCTGTTTCAACATGGCTGACAACAGAAAAATCCTTAAAGGGGATTGGTGGAAAAAAACACACAAGATGATTAGGTTATTGACTAAGCTAACCCAATGTTCTGTTTAAACATTGATCTTATTCAGCCTTAATCTTAATCTTTAGGGTATGTACCATAATGAAACTTTCATCAACAGTGTGTTCTTGAGGACAAAGGGGAAATATTACATACATTGACAATATTTATTGTAATTTTAGATACAAGTAGAGTAAAGAAAGCAGAAGAATCAAATGGTAAAGAATATCATTTTATAACTCGTGCTATGTTTGAACAAGATATACAGAATAATAAGTTTGTAGAGTATGGAGAATTTGAGAAGAATTATTACGGTACTACGTTAGATGCTATAAGAAGAGTTGTCAATCAAGGCAGGATTTGTATTCTAAATCTGGAACCAGAGGTTAGTCTAGGCAAATTACACAATATATATAACCAGTTTTAATTGTTAATAGATCTAGGAATTAAAGAATGGAACCTTAATTTTTTCTGTTAAGAACAGAACTACTCTGTATCCCCACTAATGTTTGCTCTGAATATTCAGCCCATAGAAAAATTAAAAAGTGGTTCTTGCACTAAATTTGGTTCAATTTACACTAAATTTGTTCTATCTTCTCTCATTGTGCTTTAATGCTTGTGAAATTGATTATTTTGAACATGAACTCTTAAAATGTTTGAATCTATAGTTGAAATAACAAACCAACTTTCTTATGTTCTTGATTTTCAGTCATTAAAGATATTACGAAGTTCTGATTTAAAACCTTACGTTATATCTGTTTACCCTGGTAACCTGGAAAAATTACGCCAAATTCACATCAAGTTGGGGAAATCACGAACGACTGTAAGTATGCTTATATTATTAGAATCTTCAGAGATGAAAAGAAGAAATCTCTTTCTAAACTTCTAGCTTGAGAAAATATGTTACTATAGTATCAATGAGCTCTTGTCCATTATGTAAACTACTGATTAATGTCTTATCTTCTGCCTCTCTGGAATACCTTATCCCTTTCTGGAAATTCCCATACCTTTCTGAAACCAGATTCATCAACTCTATGATCATGCTTGATTGTGTAAGAATCTGCTCCAGTATATTCCTGAATCTCGTAAATTTTCTATATTAAATAATACAGGATGAAGAGTTGAAACAGATTATAGAAGATGCCAGGGAAATGGAAGAAGTCTATGGACATCTATTTGATTATGTTTTAGTGAACACTGACTTAACTCGTGCTTATGAAGAACTATTGAATGAAATCAATCGTATTGAAGTTGAACCTCAATGGGTGCCATTAGAGTGGGTAGATAACTATATGTGAACATGTGATTTTAACTATCAAACTTTAATTTTGTGAAATTTTAAAAACTAATTCTTGAGACTTCAGTTTTAAATTTGGTGTCACAGTGAAAATACAAAACAATATAAACAATGAAGTGAAAGTATTGATATTGAAAAAGTTCCAGTTGTTCAAGTCATCAGTTGATAGCCTACAGATTATCTGGGAAAGATCATAACCATAAGACAATTGTTCCTTGACCAATTATTAGACAGCATCATCAAGAACATAAGTTATCCATTTATTATTATATTCCATCAAACTGTAATTGAGTATTCTACTGATAATCTGGAAAAGTTCAGCCTACCAAGGTAGTTATTCTACTTCACACTTGGCAAAGGATAATCTGTAAAAGACACCTGACCTGACATGTGACCAAAAATCAGCCATAGTTTGACGAACAATCAGCTATATATAGACAAGACCTGGATATACTTTCTTCTCACTTCATACTTCAAATAGATACAGAGAATTGGTTGTGATACTGGACTAATGATTTCTTCTGACTAAAGAATATACCTTCTGCTGATATTTTATACAAAATAATGTGCTTTAGTTTGTGAATTTAGAAATGTCTTCCAAATTAAGTGCCAGTGAAGGAGAAAACTAGAAATATTTATCATGAATTATTCAATATAACTTAATTTTATTAGATTAAATGTAGCAATCCATTGAGAATATATGAACAATAATTGTGGGCTGGAAGCAATATTAAAGATAAGAAAATAATAATCAGTTATGTCCCTTTTGATTGAGAAGAGAATAACTAGTCCTGCATTCCATAATGTAAAACATTTCAAAGTGTTGTGTTGGGTTTTGTTGTTTACCTACTTAACAAGTTGTATGATATCATTAGGTAATCTAAGGGAAGAAAATTATCGTTTTCTGAAAACTGTTTTATAAAAGTGAATTAACTGAATACATGACTGAACATGAGGATCATTCAAAGAAATACTGATATGTCAAGAAAGTTATTGTCCAATATTTTCTTAAAGAGTAAATATTTAAAATAAAATATAAGTGTAAATATATCTACCTAATGTGATGTTCTAAAGCATATTATTTTATTTTCTAACATTGTAATATTTGATTCTGATCTTTTCTCATATAACATATAGATCTACTACGGATATGGTTATCTACATATGTGCTCGATTTAAATTATAAGATTTGAACACATTGAGAAGCAGAGGGCACATATGATATATATAACATATCCCCTTGTGTTTTTTATGTGCTCTGATAAAGATCATGTGCTAGAGATCCTTGACAATATGCAGTTATTTTTAGTGTCTGGTTATTTCAAATCACAGATTCCCATATGACGAAAACTATTTGTTAATATTTCTCTATGAAATATAGTATTCATCTAGAATTGTTTCCTGAAGGGGATGTCAGCTTCTTGAATTTTATTATTTACAAGTATTTTTCAAAGATTTGTTTTGGTGCTTTTATTAAGTAGGTCAACAAATGAGACAACAAATTATCCATCTGTAAATATCCAGAATCAAATTTTCTAGAAAGAAAGAAAGAGATAATATAATGTTATTATATAATACCTGAAGAAAATGATATTAACTTGTATTATAATATAGTCCTGTATTCTATATAGATATATAATATAGTACATTGGCCCAGCTGTCCTGAATATTAGACATTTTTTCTGTTAATTTATATCACTGTGGACACTTATAACATTGACTTCCGCCATGCCAATTTTCAATCAGTCGTGGTTCTTGCAATGCCACTAAAACTAAGAGTTTATGTCATCATTATCATAAAAGCTTCTAATATCTAAGATATAAGAAACTTTGTGATAATGATGTCATAAAACGATCAGTTTTAGTGGAAATGCAAAAACCAGACGTCCGAAATTAGAATGGTGCAAATCGATGCCATCAGTGTGCCAGATATAAATAGACAGTTAACAATTCCTTTAACATAAAGAGAACAATCTATGTGACATTCCATTCTCTGATAACATTCGATATTCATCACACTTCGTATTCGTGACCAATGTATTTTTACATAGCAGTTTTATTCAGGACATTTGGGCCATAATCTTTTAATTTTCATAGATATATATATATAAAGATATCATAGATTAGATTTATTAAATATATTTCAAATTTCATCTTGTGGCCAATGTCCATTGTTTGAAAACAACATCAATCAAAAGAGGTCACATTTTGTACATCTAAAGATGAAATTTCAATTTAATTCATTCATAGCTGAAGTTTTCAAATAATTTAATTTAGTCATCAAATTTCATCCACATCAAATTTCATGATTATAAACTTATATTATCATTATTAAAAATCAAATAGATGGACATAGGTAGTTAATTATACAATTTAAAATAATACAATCCTTAAAAGAAACAATAATTCCATGTAGTTTGATGACAACTAAAATTTATATTCGAGTGGAATACTATCAGCCTTATTCTCACAAGCTTAAATTATATATAACTCTGATTTTAGAGATACTATAATCTAATTGATTAATGATAATAAATTCAAAATCAATTTTATTGTCTGATGTATCAGAGAAAATTATCGAAAATCGTTTTTATATCAGGACTCTTTTGCCAGTATGTATTTCATAGCCTACTTATGTCATATTTGAATCACTTTAGTGCTATCGTTTATAACATTCCACAGAAAGACTAGACCTCGGCTTTACTTCTCCATTTACCTCATGGAAAGATTCATCCACACTAACTTAGGTCTTCCAAGCTAAAGACTGCCTTTTGTTGTGTCGATGAAATTATGCCCTCACACCAATATCTTTTAACAATTAACGTCACCAAAAATAAAACATAACACTTCCAATAAGCCCCATAATGAGGTAGAGTTCATTTCAAGGAGTTAAGCAAATTGGCCTAGTGTTAAGGTGAAATGAGAATTTAACTCATAGAAATCACGGGCCTAGGTCCGAAGTAAGGACTGTTCATTTAAAAGTGCTGGTTAGCTTAATAATGTTTTGTTAGTTTAAACAATGGTACCGTCTTGTGCTATAATAAAGAAAAACCTGAGGTCGTTGTGAAGATAAGGTCAAGGACACCATCTCCATTATAATCAAACTGAAAACATAAGTCAAGAGGAACTAATGACACAGTCATATCATCATATTTGCTTTGTCAGTTGAAGAGTTCATAGAGGTTTTGAAGGTGTTAAAGACCAAATTCATTGTCATATTTTGCAACTCATAACACACATAGAATATCTTTATTCATTACTGTTTTTGCCAAAATGGCACTTTGTAAACTAATACATGTATTTTAAAGATTATAGAGAAGATTAAATTTAGAGATATTAAAGCCTATATTGTATATAAATATAATAGTTTTTATTTTATCATTGTATTATATTATTATATTATTATAACTTAATACAAAATAAATAAAACATTAATAATAATGGTTTGTTTTGTCTGAAATAGGCTGGGAATTTTAGGGTTTTGTAGACAAGCAACTCTTATAGCTTTAGTAAATTTTGCTGAAATGTGTGCTAAATCATATCCAGGCTATATTCGTGGAATAAAGGCCTACATGTTCAAACAGAATCTAGGTACAATTCAGAAGGTTCATGCTGTTGGCTAGATATAGCCTATGTAGGTGGTGAAAAGTTCATAGGCTGATTCAGAAGGAGTTATGCCACGACGATGAAACTTCAACATTTCCTTACACAAATGGCATTGTTTCTCTTCATATCAACAGATGCTGATTGAGTGATTTTGAAAAGCAGAACCAGAGACACCACTTTTGCTTTCATTAGAAAAGGAGAAGAGAGTTGTTTCCATTGCATCAACCACCGTTTTGGCTTGAAGTGATGGTTCCAACACTTATTTTGGTTGAAACAGTGGATGCACGTCCAACACAGGCAAAAATGGTGTCTCTGGTGCTATTTTTCTAGAATCATTCATTGTCTGTTGATATGAAAAAAAAAAACAATACGGTACCATAAGTATCAAGAGAAGTTGAATTTAATTTATACCAAGTTACATCTCTGTGGCATAACTCCTTCTGAGTCTGAGAAACTCTAGCCTACCCACCAGACTCTGACATGACAAGACATTAACAGGCCCCAATAGAAAGGACTAGAGGTTATCAGACTGCAGATGGGAGGTCTTATCCCTGTAGACCCTTATCCTTAGCCTACCAGTTATTTTGAGGTTTATTGCTGAGGTAATAATCAGCACAATGAAGTAAATTCACTTAATTCGGGAACTCTAGAGTACTGTTACTTGAAAAAGAAAAACTTGAGGTCAATGTTTGTGCTCAAAAAGACTTCTGTTAGGTTATCACCGCCTTTTATGACATCCAAAATTGTTGCCCGATGTCTTAATTTGATTTCTATTATCTCCCTTTGGTATATAGATGGCGTTAAATTCAAGATGTCAGCGCCCATTAAATAAAATGTTTATTTTGAAATTATTGTTTTCTTGGCTGATAATCATTGAAATTAAGTGCAATGAAGATTATGTTGCATCTAAGCTGAAATCAGAGGAATCTCAAATAGCAAGGTTCGTAAAATTGTTCTTCTTTCTTGTCAAAGATGTTGTATTATGTCAATTTTGAGATAAAGCTATATCTTGTAACTTGTCTCAGAAGAAATCTAGGACTGGTGTCTCATCGGTCTGTCATCACAGACTTCTTGATGTCGTCTTTAAAAATAAAGTTAAGTTTTAGGAAGACGAAAAGATCTCATGGAGCCAGGTCTGGTGAGCAGGGAGGTTGTTCCAGTGAGGCGATGTTCTTCTCAGCCCAGGCCATTTTGTGCAGGCATGCTGTCATTGTGGATCGGTCACAAAGTGTCCTTTCACAACCCCTCTCATCAAAGTCCTGGAACTTTTCTGACACACCCCATATGTTTATTTAAATAGCCCAACTCCAACCTTTGAACTCTTAACTATGTATGAATTACGCTATAGGCCTACTTAAAATTTCTTACAGAGTGCTTGAACAATCAATTGCGTCAGATTAGGCTCTTAAAGTTCAAAGTAGGCTACGAAATTACCATTGTTATTTATATTGTCTTGATAAACTGACAAAAGGGCAAAGACAGTAAAGAGGAAATTGAAATGCTAAATTAGATTATCTGCCAGAGTGAAAACATGAACATGATAATTTACCAGGCCTTTGAATTATTTTATCAACAATTCACGTTACAGTTGCCGCTACCTGCTACAGACATTGTGGCATACAGAAATCAGTCACACTCCATTTTCATCTGCACCTCTAATAGCTGATGTGGATGCAGACGGAGAATTAGATATTGTTGTCTCCCCATTTAGTGAGGTTTTCAATGTGGTAAGGGGAGAAACTGGTCGAACATTAGTTGGAGAGAAGTTTCGATGGCCAGTTCAGAATTTAAATGATTCCGTTCATTCTAGTCCAATACAGGTACCGTAGAGTAATTGTTTTTGTTTGATTGAGTGTAACTGGTTTATATATTGATTCAAGATCATTCATGAATGAGATTAAAACTTTATATTGATAATCCTCAAAAACATTTTTAAAACAGTAGATACAATCATCTTAATAATAACTTATGGCTTTCCATTTCATATAGCAAATACCAAGCTCCTTCAACTGACAAAGCAAATATGACGATATGACTGTGTCATTTGTTCCTCTTGACTTATGTTTTCAGTTTGATTATAATGGAGATGGTGTCCTTGACCTTATCTTCACAACGACCTCAGGTCAGGTTGTAATATATCAACATGATACGAAGCCGATAGGCCATTTTCAGATACCTCCAGTATTAGTTTTACATAAATGGTATGAACAGTTGATGATAGTACCCTATTCTGATTTAAAACGTTTCATTCCAGATCACATTTCACCTAATGAGGTATGTAGACCTACTTTCTTGACTAAAATTAAACAGAGTAAGATAATGCCTCTGTCCTGGCAAATTGCACATTGGATGAGATTGCTGATCTTTAAAAGATAATCTAAAGAAGGAAAGTGTGATGTAAAACTTTATAAAAATATCTGTTTTGACTAGAAAGATTGAATATTCCAAGCAGAACAACTTTTGCATGGCTTTAGAAAAGGCTCTTTCACCAGTAGAAGTCTGAACCATTTTAACTTTATATTTTACAGATAGGTGATTATATACCAGTTGATAGTCATGTATACTCTACACCAGTTTTAGCTGATTTAAACAATGATGGTCGCGTTGAAGAATTAGTCATACCGGTTACATATTTATTTGATTCTGAAGATTACAGGTAAAAAGAATTGAGAATTGAATGCAAATTCTTCTTTTTGTTTAAATGATGCATTTTTATTGGAATTTACACCCAGTTTATTAATATGTTAACTGATTAAAATCCTTTAGTACCGAACTAATGTTTGGAACCGAAAAATGAAACCCAAAATCCAAAATAACAGTTTGGAAATACATTGATATCAGCAAATAAATTATTCATATGAGTGGTATTGTTGAATCATGATTCCTAATACAAAATTAAAAATATGTTAAATTCGTGTCAGTATCATCACACTATTTTATGCTGTCTTTCTGAACATTGTATTATCAAATTGTATGGTATTTATTGCAGAGATTCTGATAGATTAAAAGATATTAGTAATCCTGATTTAGAGGACTATCTTATTGCTGGTATAGTTGTTTTAAATCTTACCAAGTTAGACATCATCTGGACAGCTTATCTTGGTCTTTCACAGGTTTGTTACTTTTCTGACCTTTGTAGACTATTTGTCAAGGTCAGTTATACACATGCACAAATTTTTTGAGATACTTATAAAGAAATAGAAATTCCAACGGATGTTTTTGGTAGATTTTTGTGTTCCTGTTTCTGATGCTATCCAAACATAAGTGGATTTTTTATAATTAAACTTTATTCCAAGAAAATGGAACTTCTGTGGTTCTTATATACATATCTCTATGACTAGGGGATGGCATTCCTGAGAATTACCATTACTGGTGTTTTATTTCAGATATCTTCTGCAGCACCAACATATAACTTATTTACTCCTACAGTAATTGACCTTGATGGAGAGTCAAGTGACCTTGAGATTATTGTGGGAACATCCTCTGGTGAAGTTCATGTCTTGACTTCTCAAGGTCAACAACGTAAAGGATTTCCCTATGATGGGAATCCTCTACATGGACAGGTATTTTATCCCAAATATTTTACTTATACATGCGTCAGAAATTGCAATTGTCTTCTTTGTGGGTTTACCTTGTCTTGTTGAAGCTAATTTCAAACTATTATATTATCCACAATTAGTCTGTCTACATGAACAAAATTGGACAGAAATTGCTTTAAATTTAAGTGAAAGTACAGGGTTGGAAAACAAATGTAAGCATGGTAGTCTTATTTGCCAAGAATTCCATATTGAATCAATAGGTTAATATTATATTGCAGATTACAGTAGCTGATGTCAACAATGATAGAATTTTAGAGCTGATCACCATAGATACCAATGGTAATGTTAAATGTCTGACACCAGATGGCAGTGTAATCTGGGAATCAGAAACTGGCGGTACATCATCTCCTGGAAGTCGTATAGCAGATCTGAATCAAGATGATCAGCCTGATATTATAATACCAACAAATACAGGGTGAGAATTACCCTTTATTATTTGACTATGTAGAGAAGCAGAGCTTTGACTTACTTTAATATTATCTATGAATAAGTTATAACATACTGACCTTTGTCTGTCATGTTCTGATGTCTGTCTTTATTGAGAGACAATTTTAGATTCCTTTTAATTCATATTGGATATCATTAAAACATGTAGTTATTTTGTAACTCAGTCTATACCTAATAATAGTTTTTAACTTATTATAGTAGTAATTGTTTTATTATAGTGACATATACGTATTAAATGGAACAGATGGAAGTATATTACCAGGCTGGCCTGTTAGATTCCACTCCAGGATAACAGCTAATGTATTACTGATGAAGTTTACTCCTAGAGGACCTCCTGACTTGGTAAGTATCTTGGTATGCATCTTTTGACATGAGACAAATTCATAACAGTCAAGAGCTTATCTCATGCTTTCAACACAAGCTTTTACTCCTCATCAACACAAATAGTTTTGATAATAGAATTAAATCTTCCATATTAGGTTATATAATGAGCAAAATAAAGTTACTGACTGAACTGAGAGACTGTTTTACAGTAGGAGCTTTAATGGCAATCTACTTTAAAATAAATTTTGAGACAATTGCTTGCCAAATCCTAAATCATCGATAAATTTGCAAATTAATACTTACATATTTTTACAAATATACAACATTGAATATAGATGTAGCTTACCAGAAACCCCAAAATTATTACTCCAAGAGAACGATATTTTAAGAAATCTTTCTATTCTAGGTATTTACAACTGAAGATGGCAGTTTACACATTCTAGCTGGTGATCAACGCTGTAAAGTTCATATTCCCGTCGGTGAAACCTCATTGGTTGAAGTCTTGTCACATGACCTGGTGATTATGTCAGAAGGGGTGGAGCTATTAGTAGCGACGAGGGATGGATCTCTGATTTGTCTAGGATCAGGACTAGAAACTCCTCCTGAAGCCTGGATTGGTGAAACAATGGTGAAGAGGAATCAGCTGATTTCTTGGCCTTCAGCAACTAAATCTATAAATGATTTCAGTTTTATTCCTAAAAAGGTAACTTTACTATAATATTGTAATTTTGGATTAATTGAACTTGTGAGATGTTATAGGTTATGATCTGTCAATCTCAATTGAAACTGGTTTTGATTTTAACTATCACTCCATTTGTCATAAGAATTTTAAGGCTGAATTGTGGATATGGCAGACACCTTTTACATACATAAACTTGTCAATGGAATGATGCGTCATTGAAAAAGTATTAATATCACAAAATAATTACACTCTATTTTCTACCATTATTTATCTTCCAGCCTGTGATATATATACCCTATCATATAAGATATGTTAAAGAAATAACAGGGAATACTTTCTGGACTGAGTTTGAAATAATGGATGATTCCATCACTAGAAAGTCAACTGATAAATATTATGTTAAGGTAAGTATTCATGTTAGTAGAGGTTTTATTGATGAACTCCTTAATAGGAAAATGTATTTGAAATCTAAGTTTGCTCTCATTGAATGTTAATGAACAATCTATTACACAACTATTTGAAAATATTTAAGCGTTAATAAGGAAAATCAAGCCAGATTTGTTTAAAAGATAACAATTGTGTTCCTTTCAAAAATCTATTGTTCTTTATATTATTATGTTCACAATCTATTACACAACTATTTAAACATTAATATTAGGAAAAGCAAGCCATTTTGTTTCAAAAATTAAAATTGTTTTCCTTTCAAAAATCTTTTTTTCTTTATATGCTGACGTGGATTTTTTTTTGTAATTTTTATGTATATTACAGATATATTATGGTAGTAATTTATTGTTATCCAGAATTTATGATAAACCTGGTGTTTATAAAGAAAAATTACACGTCTGGGCTCACCCTGGTAGAGGTCATGTGACTATTAGAATGACCAATCATTATGGTCAAGTTTTTACAGATTCTTTTGCAATTAGGTAAGATTGTGTGGAATAAACCACACTTCTTGATAATTGAGCTTATAAATTAATTTGCCAAATACCTTTGAAATAACAAGATCTATGATATAAACCTATTTTACACAAATTTAACAGTTTTTGTTTTTGTTAAAATATCTTAAAGGATATGTCAAAGAAATATTTGAGAACAAATGCAATTCAGAGTTTCTTTTTTAATTTGTGCCGTTGTCTGTTTCAGATTTAACAAACTGATTCTTCAAGATTTACAATGGCTGTTGCTATCTCCCTTTGTTGCCATGGTGATAATATTATTAGTTAATCATGGTTTTCCTGCTAAAGATCTACTTCCAGTTACATTCCAGTCTAAAACAAACTGAAAAATAAACTTGTCAAATGAACAAGCATAAATGTTTGATGGAAGAAAATAAAATGAATAACATGGGCATTAAGACCATTCAGTGAGTCCTTCCTTAGATCCTTACTTCAGATCTCCATTAGTATTAGCAGGGCTATACCATGAAGATGAGGAGTTAATGAGGCAATATGGATAACTGTAGCTTGAAAAACTAGTTGAAACTAACAAAAATATGAGAATATTATTCCATATTAGTAGGTTTTCAAGATTCTTGTTTTAAGTCTACCAGAATGATGATTAAGAGCCATCTCTTTAACTTTATTGATAAACTTTTTTTCTACGCAGTATTGAGTGCATAGTTCAGACTGTAGTTCCTCAAAAATCTAAATTTAGTGTTTTATTGTTAACTTGGTAGTTCTTACACTGATAATCATATAAAAACTGGACTTTAATGAACATCATAAAGATATACAGTAATCTGATTAAATAACGGCACAATTTTATGGTATACTACTCCTTAGTTTTATTACACACTAGATTGCAGATTGTTGAAACATAGTGTGCAATAAAACTAAGGAGTAGTATACCAAAAAATTGTGCCGTTATTTAATGTGATCTCTACCCCTAAAAGGATTAGTAATCTGATTGGTTAATACAACTATATTTTAAATCAGTTTGTGTGATTAGCAGATCAGATGTTCTGAGCAATAAAGTATCTTAAGTTGATGAGAAACTGACATCAGATGAATGACCCTCTGCTTGTTTTGGATCAAACTTACTCTGGCAGGTCCACAACAAAGGTACAAATGATAATGTAGAAAGTAGTCTATTAAAGATAAACATGAGTAAATTTGAACTGTATAAATGTGGCATTATGAAGAGTATATGTTTGTGATTAATTTTATCATATTCATGATATTATATTGTGATCATTTCTCATTGTTATTTATAAAGTTTTGTATAAAATCATTTATTCTTATCTTATTTTTACAATCTGAAGGTTGGAATTGGAGAGGAATTAGCTTGTCGTTTTGATGGCACTACAAGCTTATAACTCGTATATCAACCAACAACCTACTCCATCTTCATGTACCTTGAAAGGGTTATATCAATGGCAAGATTTATTGTGGACTGTACAACCGCTCGATAGAGTCGTTGGTTTTAGTCCCATTTCAGTCTTGATCACCGATTTTCGTCGCCGATGCAAATTTTGAGTAAAATCTCACGTGGGTCTGGGCTTACACGACAGGATTTATAATATCAAATCATGTTTGATGTTTGTCGCCAATCGTTTTATTGTATGATCCGCAAGTGATTATCGACAGTGGAAAACGAATGACTGAAGATTTTGTATCTGGAGATTATATCCTTAACATAGAAATTGGGTATTACATGTAAATAAAAAGCTAAACCAAATAAGAAGACATTTTATGTACATTTGCTTAGCATGCTCTGACTAATTCTGTGTAGCGTTAGAAAATACGCAGCAAACAGAAACATTTTTAAGAAGCGTCAGCTATTCAGAATCGACAATTTTCTTACCAAATTATTTAGATTTCTGTGGTTTAAATCCCCCAAATTTGGACGAAAGCCATGCATCAATGTTAGAAGATGATGTTTTAATAGGCCTATCAGGGGTAACTGTCATTGAAACTAAGGTTGTACGTATAGCAGGATACATTGGACTACAATTTGTACTAAACCAATAACAAAACGGTATGGGCATTTGATAGTGCGGGCACAAGATCAGTCTTGATCACCGATTTTCGTCGCCGATGAAAATTTTAAGTAAAATCTTACGTGTCTCCCCGCTTCCACGACAAGATTATCGCGTTGCCATTTTGTTCATAACGATCAGGTCAAAATAAAATACATTTTATATCAAATCTCATTAGGCCTACAATGATCTATTTTGACTAGGATTGGTATGACCTTCTCCATTGAGTAGCTTACCACCTTTAGAGTTATTCCCCGAATTTTAAAGAACGCAGATAATGACAAAGGTCACCAGTTTAGGGCAAAGTTTGGATTTCAAGGCTCTGGGATTTTCAATGTTTAAGCGGCGCTTCCTCAGAGTCTGTGAATTTAAGTCCTAGAACAATCGCCGGTGCCTAGCTACCCATGACGTCATAATCAAAAGTTATCTCTTGGAGAAGCTTTATAGACAAGGCGTTTATTTCATCTACATTTTTTTTCATTTTTCACGTAAGTTTGATAAAATATTTATGATATTTCATGGTAATTTTGCTTATTTTGATAATGTCTTATGCATGGAATAATTGGTTTATCCGAGTATGGCGTTTTTACAGTGAAAAATATGAAAAATGTTGACGGCAAAACGGAACCCATTTTTGGGGTCTTCGCTATAAGTTTAATGCTTACAACCAATAGGTGCATGTAATTTTGTAATATTTTTTGATAATTCTGAGAACTACGAAGTAAAGAACGAGTTTTTTTTAAAGAAAAATCTCAAACGGAAAAAAGTTTTTGATATTTGTAGCGTAAAGAGAAATATTACGCTGAGCTAAATGCTATTGCATTAAATTAATACTTTTATCTACTACATTTCAATTCATTCACATCAATCTTTTGTTTTAGTTTTCATTCATTAAACATTTCATCATCACCCTTCAATATGGAATCCTGGTTAAATGCAAGCGACAGTGAAATCGAGGATGTCAACACAGCTCGAGATTTGGTTACATTTGAAAACATCCAGAAATATTACAGTCCCCATTCCGATATTGTTGCTGCCTACACCATCGGGGATAGTTATACCACCCATAAACGAGACTGGATCGGATTATTTCAATCCGGTTGGGAAGATTTCAATAAATATGTGGATTTCCAGTGGGCAAAACTTAAGCCTTTCTCTCAATTACTACCAATGAGACGAAGAGTCATTTTCGAGGCTCCACATTCTAAGGTAAAAAATACTTCATTTCAATTTTCATCTTGCGTTGTTGATACTTCATTTCAATTTTCATCTTGCGTCGTTGCTATTTCATTTTCTAGCCTGATTCGTGTATCATGACTGTTTGATTTTCTTTTTTTATTCACATGACTGTTGTGTGGAACTCATTTCATCCATCCACCTGTCTGTGTCCTTTTAAAAACACTGTAGATTGTATAAAGCTGTCTTATTTACTGTACTTGTTGTAACATTGCTTGTTTGAATCTTACTAGAAAATATAATATATAGTTTCAACTATGGTCGAGGGCAAATGCTACCATTATTGGTTGGCTGTGAAACCCCTCGAAATCACATCCTCTGTAAACCAAAACCCTAAACCGTAATATTTGAACAGTCCAAACCGAATCACTATATAATCTGTATGAAAATCTCAATGTATTAGCAGTTCTATGGATCTGTTTGTACCTTTCGTATCTTCCAGATCGAAAATCTTCTGAACACATTCCAGTTTCTGTATATATCATCTGGTAATCAGGTCGTAGGAGTCAGCGACCTCTTTCACATCCTCGATTTACCTCAAGAATCAGATCTGAACTTTGACCTTCTTGAAAATGCCCTAATGGACGATGAGGAAGTGGTTATTGTACCCGAACCATTCAGTGGTTCAACAGGTAAGAATACTTTTCAAATACCGTGATCTTCCGACAACTGATGGGGGCATGGGTGCGTGGGATATACAGATCCGAAAATAAAAGTCATCTTCCTTGACACGTAAGTCATAAGTCATAAAATGACTATCAAATTGTACTTAAATTTCAGATTCTCCTTCAAAAACCCATATTGATTCGTCTTTTTACCTACCGGAAGTGGCTAACACCCTTGATTTAGATGAACACAACACAGTCTTAACACTGTATTCACCATCAGATAGAGTCAATAAAACATTAGCCAAGACAGAGATGCCTTTCGCTAACGTTCAAAACCAGAAAATCGTGCAATTTTTCAACCCAGAAGACTCAAAGGATCAACATCAACCAAGTTGGCTACAGAAAATTTTCACCAGCGCTCATCCACTTGTAGAAATGTTCAGAAAGGATGAAGAAACTGAATCAGATTCAAACGAGAAGATAAAACAGAAGCTAAAGGTTACATTCCAAGATACAACAAGTTTAATCCAACAGGAGTGTGAAGATCATAGCTGGGTCGATGATCTTCAAATCGTAGAGAAAGAAAACGTCGTAGAAGATTTTTACGATTTCGACCATCCATTTAGTCAATTTGCTTCCGTTTTCATGAATAAATCTGTTGAAGAGCCGAAAGATTTCATTGCATCCTCAGTTGTAGAAGAGTTTAAAACCCGACTTTCTGGAAGTTATGAACACCTAGAGAGTGTCTGTAGTAATGAAGATTGGCAGGATAGTGCTGATGCCTGGTCAAATGAATATGTCGAAGTTTTCAAACAAGTGAAGGAATCGAACCCACCATCATCGTACGATTTTTCAGATGATTTAGACTTAGATCTTTTATTCCATGAAAAGGCAGCTGGCAAGAAGAATCGAAAGGGTGAAGAAAGCAGACGTCCAAAACGAAAGAATAAGAAAAGCAGGAAGAACTCAAGAACTATCCAGCAATCAGAGAAGCAAACGCATTCTTCACACGGCATCGATACCACTTTATCGGAACCAAATTCTCAAGTAACAGTAACGGTCAAATCTACCAAACCTAGCTTAAGAAAGAGGCAAAGGAAATCCAAAACCGAGATCGTTGAAGTTCCAAACAAGAAGGCAGACTTTTCAGAGACTAGCCTGGCCTTGGTTCCATACAAACAACCCAAACCAATTATAGTGTCTCAACCATTTCTCTCGTCGCCTATTTTCTTCCCATCAGTTCCAGGATTTAGTCATGTTCTTGATATTGTACCATTTTCACCCAAGATGCTCCTGTCAATCCCATACCAGGTATGTTATGTTGAAAACCTTGCTTATCATTACTGTTTTTTTATGACCCATGTTTTGATGCATTCATTTAGATGTTGATAGTATTCCATTTCCATTCTTGTATAACCTTGGATATAAAATCTTACCTTTGAAATAACATTCGTGATCCTTATTTTCTAAACATGTTTAGCAATTGTCCACGCTGTGAAAATAATTTAAGTACAAAACTGAGGGTAAATTTAGCAATAATAATTTCTGTCGACATTATGAGAATGTTGCCTCTGTTTGTTTCATCTATCTATGACAATGTTATCCGTTTCCAAAATGACAGCCAGCTTTATGCAGGCTTTCTGAAAGGATAACAGATTTGACAAACACTGACCACGATTAATCTTGCATATCAATATATAATTTCATTTTCAGCAGCGGGAAACTGAACCAATTGCAACTCAGAGGAGAACATGCCGAGTCAAATTCCCATATTATACCAAGAAACAACATCAGAGTCTTGTCCGATCATCTCGTCAGAATTCAGGCTGTATCAGTTGTAAATCCAATAGAAAAATGGTTACAACCTTTAAAGAAAGATGTTCAACAGCTGAAAAACAACTTGGGGTGTTTCAAAAAGAACGAGCTGATTTCCAAAACCAGATCAACTTAATAGTAAGTCTGCTACTATATATTGCCCAGATATTAACACCTGTCAAAACTCAAGTTCCCTTCGGTTCATGTGCTGAAAGACTAGAGTCGTGTAATCGTATTTTAATGGGTTATTTCGTTTTCAGAGGGAGGAATTAAGAAATATAAAATCCCAGAAAAAAACAGAAACCGCTTCAGTAGCAACATTAACTGATAGAGTTGAAGATTTGGCAATTATTGTCCCTGAGGCTGATGATATCATTAAGAATTTGAATGAAAACAATGAATTGTTAGAGATGGCTTTCCAGTCTTCTTTAGTTGATAATGCCCAGCTTAGACACGAAATGGTAAATTTAAAATTTATTCAGTTCATTCTATGTCAGTTATATGTCTGATCATCTTGTGTTGTCAATATGATCCTTAAATCCTCAAGACCACTTGTTTAAAAATAGCGATTCATGTTACGATAATTGAATCTCAATGATCAAAAGTATTGTATATTTGACACTTTTGTCTTGTACGGATTTCCTTCCTAACAACATATTTGTTAAACGAAAAGCCTATTTCTGTTTTATTGTAGAACTCCATGCAAGAATCATTGAGAACCTTGAATAAACAGTTCCGAGAAACAGCCAGTGAACTTCGTACAACCATAACAGAAATTGAGAAAAAACAGTCAGCATTAGAAAGTAGTCCTAGATGTAAATGTGAAAGCAGCAGTTTGGAGACAATTGGTAGGATTAGTTTTCTTTACCACGGACTGGCGAATCGAAGGTTGGGAGAATGGGGTGGCTTTTCTGGGTTTTTTTTTTGTCACGAGTCCTTCGGGTATTAAACAGTGGCAAACGCATGCAATGGGAGGGGATGGATTGATGTTCCTGGGGGTTCTTAAATTGTTCGTCTGAGACAATTCTGGATCCAGAATGAATTTATAATTATGGTGGCAATTATTCAAAGAATATTAGGAACAGAAAATACACAGGGGCGTAACCTGGTTAGAATATAGAGGTGAAATCTTGACCTTAAATAAAGAATGCGTTAAATGAAAAGACTTGGACAAAGATTACTTTTTAAGGGATTGATTCTTTCTAGCTTCTAGAAATCTCAACCCTGTTGACATGTTTTGTTACCGATGTACAATTTCAGAAAAATTGAAAGTAATCATTGAAAGACGAGAGCAATGGATTGTATCTCTACTGTTACGAGTGGATACGCAGAGTCATGAAGTAGAAAACAAGAACAAAGACCTTGCAGCATTGAGAGAGCTTCTTGAGGTAAGATAATCACCAGTTATACCTTTTACAATTGCTGGACCATTTCAAACAGTCTGACCCAGACCAGTTTCTTCCTATGCAGTTTTCTCTGTGACTTAGCCTAAACTCGCCTTTAATGATCTGGTGAATTTGAGTCATATACAGTCTATGATAATCAAATTGTGAAGTCATTCCTTTTATGTGTGTACTTAATAGAATCACTTTCATTGTTACTATTTTATTCTAGAATGAACGTCAGAGGGCCAACAAAGCTGAAGACGAACGAGAGGAATTAAAAGTCAAGATGGCGTCAATGGTTGCTAAGCAGTCTACATCTAGAGTTGAAGATCAACCAACATGGTCAGGAGTGGTTGCTAAACCGGTAAATACTTTTCTTGCTCCACATATCTCACGTACTTGTCTACTGAACATGCTCATATGAACAGAACAATCTCAAAGTTGGTCAAATCTATCAAACTTGAATTCTACTTATTCGCATGAAGAACTAACAGAACTCTCTATGTCCTCTATCTTCGGCGCGGTTGTTGACGGTAAATTCATTCTTTACTCTATGGCCTTGTTCATTGGCTCGTTCAGGAGCAGTAACATACAATTTCGTTTCTTGTCCTCTTTTTTATGTCTGTACCTAATTGCTCACTCTATGGATTTAAAGGTGGACAAAATATTTGCCCACAAAGATTTTGAAAACATAAAAATCTAAAATTTGTCCACCTTTATTTCCAGGAGTCTGCGATGAAGACACTTTGGAATATTACACAGAAGGCTGTTTGCTACCCAATATGCAAAAGAGGTTCGTGGACTTGAAACTGTTCAATTGATAAAACAATCGAATGCACCTTAACAAGGGTAGGAAACTCGACGCGTTCTAGTCGGTTTGTAGATGACTCTTTATTAACCAGGCGTGTATATAAGGATCCATTCATAATGATTTCATCTCGGTTAGTTTGATTATTTGAAAATAGAAGGACGTCAACGATCATCATCTGATTTCATTGATTCACCAACTGTAATATTTAAATTTTCATGTTATGTTTTGTAGGAAACGATCAAGAAAGCACGTGTACAGTTCACATTGTGTGATGAGACAATCAACCAACCAACACACAGTAGAATAATATCCAGCCAACCAAAACCATCCATTGAAACCAGCCTATCAAAATCTTTAGAAAAGTGCAAATCCAAAGCTGAATTGTGGAAAAGATATAACGCTGAATTGAAGAAGCAAATCGATGAAGGTTTATGTCGATTTTGTGGCATGTCTTTTTCTCCACTTGTTGATAAAAGAATCATTGAAGAACACATTTCTTACCATAAACAATTCAACCACACTTTTTAAAAAATAGCTTTCTCATTTAACCATGGATTCCTAAACAAACTCAAAATGATAAAATTAAGTACTTGAATAATTTCATACTCAAATATTATGCAACAAATGATTTATTAAAAAAAAATTGGAAATGATTATGCAAAAATTGTTTTTAATATCATTTGGGCTTTACTATTTAAAAACCTTTATTGAAAGATTTTCAATTGAAATATTAGCTTGTCATTTAACCACGGATTCCAATATACAAAAAGAAATCCAATATTTAGTAATTTTTGTACTCAAAAGTTGTGCAAAAAATGACCAATTAAAAATAGGAGATGATTGTACAAAAATGATGAAAACAAATTATTTTTCATATTTTAGGTTTTTTCTAAAATATACTCAAACGACATATTAGAAACAATTTATTTATTTATTGTGTTTTATTAATCTAAAATTTAACATAAATTAAGAGAAAATATCTCACGCATGATTATAAATAACAGAAAAATAGTTTTATAAAAGTCTTCCATAAAAATTCATTTCGTCGTTCATTCATCATCATTCACTCACGTATTCATATTCGCCTTGTCTATAATATAGTATAATAATCAAACATTTTAAATTGAATTAGATTGAGTATTATACCATACCAGTTAAAATTATGATAAAACTTGATTGGAAATGAAACAAAAATATTAAAGATTCTTTCCATAAACGTAAAAATATTAGACTTTTTATTTATTATGTTTATTATGACAAATCTTAATATTGTTTGGAATATTTTTATAAATGAAATAAAAATGTTTGAAAGTTAAACAATTAGTTTAAGATTTGCATCTTTTGTTAATTCCGAGCCTGAAGGAGTGTTCAGGGTTGGTAGTTTGGCACGACGTCAGAAACTATGCAGATCATATTATGCAATAATTTGTATCTAAGCAAGTTAATTTCTATAACTAAAGTCATGGATGTGCAAATCTTGAAAACCAGGAAGCCTCAGACGCCATTCGGGTGCATACGTGTCTGTTTAACTTTACTTCAAAGTCAAACGCTTTAGATGGTATATACAACCTTCAGCATGGGCACCATCAAACGTTTACGTTGAAATACAAGACGTTCAACGTGAAGTTCAATTGATTTCACATACCATAAGTTGTGAATGTACTACTTTGTTAAAAATATTGGATCTCATTGTCGACCTGCTAGAAGTCGGTCAGTGGAATGTTTAAATCGTCAGTCTGTCTGAAACAACATGTAAGTAGTGCAAATGGGATTATATTAATTCTCAGCGAAGACAATATCTGCATGGGAAACAGCACTCCCTCATTTCCGGCTTGTGATGAATAAAAATAAGAGAAAGAGTAAGATTTTATTCTGAATAGAGTGTGATTAGCTCCCTTTGTACAATTTAACAGTTTTCAAAAATAGAACACAGTATATAAAAATATCCCCCATATTTTACAACAAAACATACAAAAATATAAAATCTAAACACAGAACAAATTTGATTTTCTAGAAGTATTTTGTTATTTATCAATAATTATAAAGGTCGAAAGTGTACTGATAATATGAACACATCTAACTCTAACTATTTTTTCTCAGAAGGCCAGTTTAAAATTGTTTTCAAAATTCCAAAGAGTAATTTGAACACAGATACATAAAAACAATGTGACAAGGTAAGAACAAACAAAAAATGAACACAGCGAAAGACGAGACGAAGTGAACCCAACGATGCTAATAACCAGTACAAAACGAACTGAACCAAACAAAGTAAGAAAATACGAAAATAAAAATAGATGTCCCCCATTTTATACAATATTTATATTACAATCTGATATTTATGCTTTGATTTTATTCCTCCTTCTATTTAAAATCATCATAAGAAACTTACAATCCGCCATATAATATCACGTGATCACAATACGAAACATAAATAGTGTTGATTTGCGAATTGTTCTATTTTACTGCCAAAATTACAACTATGACAAGTGGACGACGATCTGTCTGCAGTGACGATGAATGATCTATCACGTTATATTATTATTCATAATGAATTAAGAATTAAGTTGAAAGTACTTTGCATTTGCTTATCAGTCTTTAGTGGATATATAAAAATGGCGGTTTGTAAGTTTGTTATCATGCCATCGTTATGCAGAATCAACTTAGCTTTCATTAAGAAAAAGTTAGTCTCAAAATAAACAGTTATTTATCTATCATTAGCATTTGCGTTCTGGAAGATCTAATTGACACCTGCATGGTTTGTACCGTTTGAAGTCCAGGAAAGAGATCTTTGACATGTCACCTGATAGTTAAGGACCTTGACGAATTTGGTTGATAGGCAGTGCATATATGAGTTGATGGTCCAAATATTTGATTGGAAAGTGATATAGGATAAAATATATATTATAGTGAAATAGTCGCTACTTCGACAGAAAATTGTTATTGAATTTAACCCAAATTTTTCTAACTTTGACGCACTCTATTCCAGAATTAACTTATGGTGGTAAATTTGATTTGCGATTGGTTACATGGAAACAGAACATATCAATATTTCACGATGAAAATGGAAGTAATATCAATTTAAAGGAATACATATGTGATAGGTTAGTTTTTTTAAAAACTACGATCAGCAATAATGAGTGTTTTTGATAGTTTGATTAAAAGATGTGCGCCAATGTATAGAATCTTAGATTATGCCAAACTAAATTTTCACCGACATTTGAACAATAAATAGAAAATTATTATAAGATCTATATGAAAGACTAAAGTAAAAAGAAAAATGTGAAGAATTTAGGGTAAGTTGTACATGCCCGGGAACATTTGACGCCGTGAGGGAACAGAACATCCGGCGTTATCCCACCAATCACAGACTTTCAAATTGGCATTAAAATGGAGATTTCCAGGACAGGCTTTGACAAAGGGATGACCATAATCACAATGTAACCATAATCGACAATCAGGATGTGGGAAATTTCCTTGTCGTTCTGGACAGGTGAAGGCAACTCGTTCTGAAAGAAAAAATAGGAAAGAAGTGAGTCTCATGTTATCCAGATTAGTTTCATAGTTGCAGCGAACTTTTGAAAATTGCGCCTTCGCTTTACTTGCAGCAACAATATATCGCTCACAGCAGAGAATGTGGTATAACGCCTTATATAAATTCGCGAGTTCAATGACCAAAATGACCTTATTTAAAACATTATGAACACAATGAAAGATGATTGTTGAATGATTAACATGTCTGATTTTTCGTTTAAAGACAATTTATTAAATCTAATTTGTAAATCGCATTTATATAACGTACAATAGTGTAATGAACTTAACCTTCCGACCCATGAGGAAATCCATAGTGATGCCAACTTTCATGCCCTTACCGCGGAAATGTTGATTAGTTATTCACTGATGTGACTATAGATTTGAGTATCAAACCTCTTGGTTGCCTCGTAACCTTAACTGAACAAAACCAGAACATCATGGGACATATCCACTCATCCTACCTTCGAGCGTCTAATCACTACGTTCTTACCAAACAATGTTAACAATTGCTGATTGAACAAACGTTTTCAGGATATGATTAACGAAACTATTTATTATTTCTCGGTCTATACCTACATCGATCCTGTCTAATCTTATGTTGTTACCTCATTGTTTCAAATTTATCAGTCTCTCAAACTTCCTTGATTGTTACATGGAAAATTTTGATGTCTACTCCTCACCTTTTGAGCACAACCTCTCTCGTATGGTATTGATCGTTCATACTTTAATTGTTACAACGCATGCAGTGATCCCCTAAAAGCGTTTTCGTTTCATATACCTACGTATAAAATCGTTATTGTTATGACACGACTAATAACTACGACTTATGAAAAGAAGAACTACAAACTGAGTCAAAATTTCGCTGCTTGGGACAGAAACGCTGCTTTCACTGAAAGAACTTAAACGATAACAAATTAGATGATTTATATTCATAATGCTCTTTCAATCTAAAGATTTTTTCCGCAATGATGCAAATCATAGCACATTATATGCAGCGCTCATTAGTGAATGAAAAATGCTTAGATGCGCATGCGCAATGCTGAATTGGCTTGTTTGAAGCATCTGAAAATGAAATAATTATGACTTCCCAATTTCAACCAGAATCATCTCAATCAGTGTTAAGAAATTTCATTTGTTCAAAATCTTCGACCACAATAGATCCATTTCAAAAGAATATTGCCTTACAATATAGATTGATATGATCCATTATCAAAACTGAGAAAATGAACAAAATGTGGACATCACAGAAACACCACGAATCTAAATGATTTAGTACAAGTTGGATCCCTAATTGTTAATCGTAAAGCTGACTACTTCTACATCTACTTTAAAGTTAGTACATTAGACAATCCGAATAATCAAAAGTATCATGCCAAAGATAGAAACAGTAAAGATCAAAATAGAATCAGTAAAGATCAAGATAGAAAAAGTAAAGATTAAGATAGAATTCTAAGGTCTAAATAGATTAGAATCGGTAAAGATTGAAATAAAATCAGTACCTATCGAGATAGAAACAGCACAGATCGAGATAGAAACAGTACAGATCGAGATAGAAACAGTACAGATCGATATAGAAACTAGAGAAATCAAGACAGATAGAAGCTTGAGAGATCAAGATAGATAGAAACTAGAGAGATCAGGACAGATAGAAACTAGAGAGATCAAGATATATAAAAACTTGAGAGATCAAGACAGATAGAAACTAGATAGATCAAGATAGATAGGAACGAGAGAGATCAAGATAAGTAGAAACTAGATAGACCAGGTTAGATAGAAACCAGAGAGATCAAGAGGGATAGAAACTAGAGAGATTAAGATAAATAGAAACTATACAGATCAAGATGAATAGAAACTAAAGAGATCAAGATAAATAGAAACTAGAGAGATCAAGATAGATAGAAACTAGAGAGATCAGGACAGATAGAAACTAGAGAGATCAAGATATATAAAAACTTGAGAGATCAAGACAGATAGAAACTAGATAGATCAAGATAGATAGGAACGAGAGAGATCAAGATAAATAGAAACTAGATAGACCAGGTTAGATAGAAACCAGAGAGATCAAGATAAATAGAAACTAAAGAGATCAAGATAGATAGAAACTAGAGAGATCAAGATAGATTGAAACCAGAGAGATTAAGATAGATAGAAACTAGAGGGATTAAGATAGACAGAAACTAGAGAGATCAAGATAGATAGAAACTAGGGAGATCAAGATAGATAAAAACTAGAGAGATCATGATAGATAAAAACTTGAGAGATCAGGATAGATAGAAACTATAGAGATCAAGATAGAAACTAGACAGAACAAGATCGATAGAAACTAGAAAGATCAAGATAGATAGAAACTAGAGAGATCAAGATAGATAAAAAAAAACTTGAGAGATCAGGATAGACAGACAATAGAGAGATCAAGATAGATAAAAACTAGACAGACCAGGATAGATAGAAACTAGAGAGATCAAGATAGATAGAAACCAGAGAGATCAGGATAGATAGAAATTAGAGAGATTAAGATAGATAGAAACTAGAAAGATCAAGATGAATAGAAACTAGAGAGATCAAGATAGATAGGAACTAGAGAGATCAAGATAGATAGAAACTAAAGAGATCAAGATAGATAGAAACTAGAGAGATCAAGATAGATTGAAACCAGAGAGATCAAGATAGATTGAAACCAGAGAGATCAAGATAGATAGAAACTAGAGAGATCAAGATAGATTGAAACCAGAGAGATCAAGATAGATTGAAACCAGAGAGATCAAGATAGATAGAAACTAGAGGGATTAAGATAGATAGAAACTAGAGAGATCAAGATAGATAAAAACTTGAGAGATCAGGATAGATAGAAACTTTAGAGATCAAGATAGATAGAAACTAGAGAGATCAAGATAGATGGAAACTATAGAGATCAGGATAGATAGAAACTAGACAGAACAAGATGGATAGAAACTAGAAAGATCAAGATAAATAGAAACTAGAGAGATCAGGATAGACATAAACTACAGAGATCAAGATAGATAAAAATTGGAGAGATCAAGATAGATGAAAACTAGGGAGATCAAGATAGATAGAAACTAGAGATATCAGGATAGATAGAAACTAGAGAGATCAAGATAGATAGAAACTATAGAGATCAGGATAGATAGAAACTAGAGAGATCAAGATAGATGGAAACTAGAGAGATCAAGATAGATAGATAAAAACTAGAAAAAAAAAGATAAATGGAAGACAGATCGAAGCGTATCATTAATTAAGAAAGCTACATGCATTAAAAGAAGAAGAGGAACTACTGATAAATAATACAAAATGTTATGTTTAGTATCTAACACATGCAGGGATAACATTAACAGGTTTTATTCTTAACATCAGGATGAGATTAAATATAGAAAAGAAGAATATTATTCCAAAGATCTAGTATTGTGTGGTATTATCTCCCTTGACTAAATAACATCAAAGAAAAATACCATATTTGGAATAATATTCTTGTATACTTAGCAGCTACACCATATCCATCGTCCAATATTCCCGGCAACCCACATTCAATATGGCGACCAACGTCAACTCCCAGAGTTGCCTGAACATATTAAAAGCATATTTGATTATTAACATAAAAAATAAAAGAATATAAATTATGATAAATGATATAATTTCGTCAAGTACCAAATGGGTAAATGTGAAGAACTTTCATAAGTAGAATACCGAGACACGGGATTTGCCTTACATAGTTTTAAAGGAGCATGCCCAACAAAAACCACAGTAATTTCCAAAATACCAATACCCCCTGAAACCCATTGTTAGCATAAAGCAGAATCAGGGACTAAAGGGAAAGTGCCATGGATAAACAAAATGTTTTAGGAATAAAGTTCCAAAGGCGTATGCAAAACACACAAATATCGCTGTACACAATTTACCACAGGATATATTACGAAAGCTACAAATATGAATTATGTTGCAAACACCAACAAATCAATATCAGCTGTATCCATAACCTATCTTTACAAATTTATCGTTACGATCTGTTCGTTTGTCGTGTAGTTGAGAGAAGATATTCGTGCTTGTGTCCGGTTCAAAGCATAAACATGAACCTTCCACTCTGGGTAGAAAAATATTTATAAAAACCACACAGACTACAACTTATAATAATTACAAGTTAACTAATAAAAACACTGATTGTCGTTATGTTTTGAATCGTCACGTCACCGGAGTTGCATAGATATCTTTGAAGTGTTCGACTATAATATAAGTTATGGATACAGGTGAACAAAAATATTAATACTTTACCATTCCCTTCTTATATTAACAAACTTCAATCTGATTGGAATACAGTTCAACATTTCGTTCGGGGTTTCTCCGAACTAACAGAACGGTCGAAAAACGAAAATAACTCATTTGAATAGTATTTGAATCAGATTGGGCCAATTTACAGTAGTCACAAAACAATCCATACAAACCTCCAAACCACCCGACACATCACAACAGTTAAACGCTACACAAAGCTTCACACAAATAGCCCCCAAAACGTTATTGTTAACGTGCCGAATTGCTCGTCTTTTAGATTCAGATTAGTCTTCATTAAATAGAAGCAAGTCCTGGAACCACCTAGACCTCTAAAGCTTTGATTAAGTACCCAAGTTGCTCATTAAAAGACAGTGCGCTATTTCAGTCGATGAGAAATTTGCTTTAAATGCTTTTTTCCGATTGATGCATTAGTTTTCCATTCATACTGAAATTCTGCATCAGAGTAGTCCAGTTAAAATAAGTAATTGTAAATACTTACCCAAACATTTTGCATATTCCTGTAAGCACTAATGGTGGATAGCGAACTTTCTGCTATAGAACAATACATTACCTCCTTGTCTCGTCCTTGAACTTTCATTTGATACGTAATTGCAAGTGCTTGCAATATAATTCATATTTGTAAAGTAATAACGAAATATATTAAATGTTATTTTTTTGATAAACATTTCGATTGCTGCCCCTAAAACATTTTACGGGTTAATAGAGAATACTAGTAAAAATCTAATGCCCACTCTGCCAAATTAATAAATAATATGATATAGAATTGTTCAAGTTAGTTAAAGAATTCATTCCATACACGTAAAGGGAAACTAAACAATATACACAAAATATATATATATATCAATATCAAATTGAGATTGGGTGTCTTGCTAGATCTTCCAGTACTAGATAACTTTGAATGTATCTCTAGTATATAGAAAGGTTTTCAAGCAAGAGATGTATCGAAATATACCCTGGTGCATATATAATACATTAGAATGCATTTCGATATATCAGTTGTGACCCGGCCCGAAAAGGGTTCTACCAGCCTAAATGAATGCAAGACACCCAAACTTGTTCAAAACAGGAAGTCATTGAATATTTTGAATATTTGATGATTTCTACTCAGAACACCAAAGTGAACTTGTCCTTCAGTCAATACCTACCACATCGCATTCCAGAAGCTGCATTTGGACATCGACATCTTGGTTCTCCTCTCTCATCAAAAAAACACACGCCAGTATTCTTACATCTTAATGGACAGGTTTTGATAGCAGATGCACAATTCGTTCCTCCATACCCATTGATGCAATTACATCTGTAGCTTGTTCCTTGATTAACACACGATCCTCCATTCTGGCATGGTAAGGCTAAACAAGCTCCAGTCGTGCCGGGAGTTGGTAGAGGAGTTGGGGCAAGAGATTCACATCTTGAGCCTTCAAAACCTTCTTTACATCTGCAGACGAAACCCTCCGGAACCTGGGAGTTGATGACACATTCTCCATTGTGTAAACATGGCTTTTCGGAACACTTTGATTCGAGGACACTAATGACTCTGGTTTCGCAGTTGGCTCCGGTGAATCCTCGAAGGCACTGACAAGAATATCCTTTTGAGGCTCTTGAAGATGCATAGCAGACTCCGTCGTTTTCACAAGGTCGAGTGGCACAGATGTCAATTTGGTCGCATTTTCTACCTCTCAGTCCAACTGGACATTGACATCGATAACCTGCACTTCCTACAGGTATACAAGTTGAGCCACCAGAGCAAGGGTTCAGAGTGCAACCAGATGCGACTTGACAAAATTGTCCAGAAAATCCTGCACGACAGCTACACTGGAATCCATCTTCAAAGGCAGAGCATCGTCCACCATTTTCACATGGATTCTGATTACATGGATCGAAAATTTCACAATTAGAGCCACGGAAGCCTTGTTTACAGGAACAGAAATAACCATTGTCAATTGGAGAACAGATACCGTTGTTTTCACAAGGTGCTGATGAGCATGGCGTAAAGACGTTACAGTTTGTACCAGTGAAACCAGGGGCACAGTTACAGTAATATCCAGTTGACTTCGTTACACATTCCCCACCATTATTACAAGGGTTAGAAGTACATTGATCGATCCTAGCATTGCATGTTTTACCAGTAAATCCTCGTAAGCACTGGCATGAAAAGGTTGTTAATCCCGAGAAGCATGCAGCTCCGTTCTGACATGGATTTGGAAAACATCTGTCAACTACCTGGCAATTGATCCCGTTGAATCCTTCTGGACATCGACATTTATATCCAGCAAACTGACCATCAAGGCACTGACCTCCATGTTGACAAGGAGCAGAGGCACAAGGGTTAGGTTTGATTTCACAGTTGATTCCGGCGGTACCGAGAGGGCATCTACAAAAATATGAATCCTGGGTTACCATACACGAACCACCATTTGTACAAGGTGAAGGATCACAAGGCGTCAGCTGACAGTTGTCTCCAGTAAAGCCTTTTGGACAGGAGCAGAAGTAACCATTACCATTTACCAAGCAGGTTCCACCATTAGCACATGGGTTCAAGGTACAAGATGTTTGAGAACAGTTCTGTCCCGAAAATCCAGGAAGACAATCGCAGGAATAACTATTACGACCAGCAACGCATCGTGCGCCATTTTTACAGGGTTCACTGAAACAGGCATCTCTCAACTCGCACGACCGTCCAGTAAAACCAGTTCTGCAGGAGCAGACGTGACCAGTTAAACTCAACAGACAGTTACCATTTGGTCCACATGGGTTGGGATTACATGGTGTCTCGTCACAGTTAGTACCAGTGTATCCTAAAGCACAGCGACAGACATAGGAGTTTCCAGATACAAAACAAGTAGCTCCGTTTTTACAAGGGCTTGATGAACACGGACGATCTGTACAGTTTCTTCCTGGAAGCAAATGATAAAAATGACCCATTAATTATGAACAACATAACATCATCGTCATCGTAATAAAAAAGTTGGGAGGGGGAATATTTTGTTTGGTGTTTGATTATGAATGCCTTTAGTCGAATTTTGGATTTATTGCTTTACTTCGTCTTTCTTAATCCCGATCCTAGCATGAGCGTATTTTTATATTCGTACTTACCAGTAAATCCACTAGCACAAGTGCAAACGTAATCGTTGTTTCGTACAGAGCAGAAACCGCCATTTTGACAAGGTGCCCCATTGCATGGATTAAAGTTATTACAATTTGGTCCGGAGAATCCAGGTCGGCACAGACAGGAGAACTGCGTAGCACTGGTTGGGACACACGTTCCACCGTTCTCACACGGGTTTCCAGAACATACATATATGTCGCATCGGGTTCCAGTGTAGCCTAGTTTGCATTTACATTCGTAACCACCTCGTACAGATAGAGCACAACTACCACCATTTTCACATCCATTAGTTCGGCAATCGTTAAATGCTGAAAAAACATTCAATCATTTTCTGCAAATTTAGGTTTCTAAGCATTTAATGGTGAAAAAGGATAAGACTGTTTTTTCGTTACACAAGTCTATTTCTATACCTGCTTAAGATTAGATATTTTCAATATCCCAAAGAACCCATATGCGTATTATGATGGGTTGTCACTAGCCTTATAGGCCATGCTCAACTTTCCTTACATAAACAGGTTCACATAGCTAACGATGTAATATCAGCATGTACTGGTATAGGCTGAATTATCTTCGGTAACTAACTGAATTAATTGGTATAACATAAAAACACTGACCTGTCTCACAGTTTCGACCGGAGAATCCAGTTTTACACGAACAAGTGTAACTACCGGGGGTATTTTTACAAGTTCCTCCATTTCTACACAGACTGGGGTTCTCAGCACATTCATCAATATCTGCAATACCAGATCAATAGCCAAATCAATTCAATAAACCAAGTACTAACACCAACCGGAGTATAAAAGAAGCCTAGTATTTAATCTTTTCTATCAATGATTAATATTAGAGCATTTAACAAAGCACACGTCAACAATAAAAATGAAAATATATACCATACTCACAATTTCAATCGGAGGAATCAGTGTAATTTATAAGGAGGGGTGACTTTTTGTAAACAGTTTATATGGACTTACCATTATCGCAAGTTCTACCGGAGAATCCATATTTACACTGACAGATATACGATCCAAATGTATTGATACACGTACCACCATTATTACATGGCGAGTTTTGCAGACATTCATTTACATCTGAAAAATTGAAATAATGTGTTTTTGCAAATTCTTCCTTTTTCGCATTGCATAGTACTCATTTATTCCAATGTCAAAAGTGTCCACAAAGATAATTGGAGGGATTCTTTTCGTATGTCGTTTGAGGTTATTAACGTGACTGCGCTGGATGGTATAGCTCATGATTTGCAGTTCGAAAACGTAAAGATAAGTATTTTGTCTTTTACAACCTAAATAATTTGGCAATGACTTACCTGAATCACATTTTTTACCAGTAAGACCTTGGGGACAAGTACAGGTAAAATCTCCAATCAGATCAATACAAGTTCCATTGTTAGAACATGGCTGACTCTTGCAATCATCAACACCTGAAAGTTAATACATTCTATTGTATATCTGAAAACAGATGTACATGCAGTTTAATGATAAGAAAGAATTTGGTAAGTTTTGCTCTATCGCTCCGTATCATTTCAGTTTCTGATTTCTGACTTGCTGTTTCTATGAACTGTATGTAAATTTGTGTATTTCATCTATTTGAGAATATTTGAATTATTAAATACCAAGTATCTTCATTGGGTTGTTATACCTACCTAAACTACAGTCAGGTCCCGTGTAAAACTCTCGACATTCACATCGATACAATAAACCAGTTTCTGGACTTGGTGTCTCTAGTTTCCAACATGATCCACCATTGATACAGGGAAAGCTTGAACAGGGACTCACTGAAAACATAGGTTGGAAAAAGGTGTGAAAGAATTGTTACGTAGCTGTGCAACAAAACTGAGCATTTGTATGGTATACGCCTTTTTTTCATGATCGTGTTATGAGAGAAAATGCCCTGACTTACCACTAAAATTTAAGGTTGTTTAGATAACTTTCCAAAAGTCGACAAACATATCATAGTCCAGTAAAACAGGCCCTAAGTTACAATGTAGCACACTCTGCTTATGAAACCTAAAGAATGGACGCTTTTACCAGTTTCTACTTGCTAAAACTATCAAGGAATGCATGACCAAATGATATCCTATTGACGAACTTACGTTGTTCACAATCTTGTCCTGTCCAGTTATTGGAACAGAGTTTGTTTCCTTCGGAATCACAATCATAACGATCAGGATCTGGTAAACAATATCGATTACAATCTCTTCCAAAATAATTATCAGCACAGTATAACTGAAAAGAACATTTATAGTTACTCTATCACTTGATGGTATTTAAGGATGCGACCAAACAACGCTGGATAACTGATGATGCAGTTGTTAGCGATATTACGAGACAAGATTAGAAAAGTGTGGATACAATCGAAACTTTAGGATATCATTATTTTGCCATGTGCATAGAGTAGAAAAATGATAGTCCGTAGCTTTATCACCAGCGTATAGATAAATGTAAATGTACGAAATTGGGATATCAGCTTCTGAGTTAATTGATTAGAGAGGTCACGCTGAGACAAAAAGTTCAGACTCACCCTTGCTTGTATTTGTAATTTGGCATCATTTGTTGGATAGACTCCTTTAACTCGGTCAATAGTAGAATAGCGTGTTTTATAAATACTAGGGCCGGTTGATAAAGCTGAAATTATGATAAGAGAGAACACACAGGTTAGGACAGCCAAGCAACCTCCAATAGTATTGTGATATATATGCTTAAATCGTCAATGCACAAGTTGCACTTTTGTGATGTCTATGGTGAAGCCACCCCCCTCATCAAATTAACCTCAGAAATTGGATTAACCAATTCGGTTACCAAAGTAAGAAAAGAAGTTCCGAACAACATTTTTGTGAGTGTTTTTGACCGCAGATCCAGGTACACAAGGAGAAGGAGTTCTCGTCACCATTCTCTTGTTAGAATTCACCAGATACTTACAAGATAAATCTACTCTATATTCGTTAATCATATCCTCTCCTCTACCAGTATTGTGAACCATCTGAATCTTTATACCAATATCTTGTAATCGATTAGCTTTATCGATTTTAATTGATTTGGAACCAATGATCATATTTCCTCCTGTAAATTATTAACAAGAGTTTTAATTCCCCATTAAAATATTGAATATATTCTGAGCTATTAAATATTGATAGTGCACAATATGAGAGATTCTTTTTGTAGACAAAGTTCTCAGTCAATGACGTCATTGCTGTGATATTTTGTTATTTTGGAACTATTTGAAAATGCTTCATAACATTTATACAGCGGTATATCTGAGAAACATAGGCCACAACATTTACTTATTCCAACACTGCCCGTAATCATAAGACCAATCAGGTGTTACAAGATCGGACGTAATTCTTCATATATTAACATTTTTTACTTCAACCCGAAATTTGGTTCTACCCAGTTCTTCAGACGTGATGTTCTGATATATTATCGTAACGGGTAAGACCAGACATCATTCCTAAACGTCTGAGGAACTGAGTTGTAGCAGATTTGTCGAACTATCTTTTAACCAACCTAAAATGCCACTTTCAACAAAATCGGTTACACATCGGTCAGGAACGGAGGTGTAAATACAAGCTTTCATCATTGTTTTACATTTACATGTAACATCACAGCATGTTCCATTCATATTCTTTCCATCAGTGTTTTCAAACGTTGAAATACGCACTTCAAGTTGTTGGAGTGAGGTGACCGTCTGAAAAACACGAGAAAGTGGAAGTTTATAAGGTGCTTTGACACTGTACTAGTATAAATGTTCAGCATGAAAGAGAAAATCTAATCAGATTCATCGTGGAGAAGAATCTGTTGGTTGGAAAGAACATTTTTTTTCAAATACGATATTTACGCTGTTGTTCCATTTCAGTAGTGCGAGTCTGTTTTAAGTCTATCGTACTATCGGACGTATGTTAAAAAAATCAACCTTACGCATTTACAAATATCAATATAAATATAGGTCCGCTCCCATTAACTGTTGGCAACTGATGGTTTATTTTAAAAGCCAGATGCAGAAATGTGTAAAATAGTCTAATTTAATTAGCACTTGCAGAGGAATTGAAATAATTTAAACATACAACATGTTTGGTATTTACCGCTCTAACACTATATATGCTATTTGAATTGATATTTGCTATTCCCAAACTTTATCGAATGAATTACTACTTCTTTCATTCTCTGAGGAATATTTGGCATGTCATGAGATGCCGGTTGATATGTAACTAGTAAAGTTTGAAAACTAGAATATGTAAAACATACACATTTTCTCCAGTTCAAGGAACTCGTATGCTGATTGAACGACAAAGGTTATTGGAACAGCTGCGTAACAAATACCAAAATATATATAACCCAATTCGAAAATAAAAACCCATTGAGTCTAAATTACATAACAGAATGAACAATCACAATCATAGCAGTATGCATTGGCATTCTGGAATGAATCTATATGAACAAAATCAACAATGGTTCCGTCAGACAATTTGACTATGGACAGAATTCTAGTTAATCAGATGTCAATGGTGCATTCAGATGTTATAACAAAACAGTGTGACTGTACACAATAAAGTGTCTGAGGAAAGAGTAGGCAGTATTACTACTAGACAAGAATAGGCATCTAAAATGGATAGAGAAGGCAACCCACGTGAAGTAGGCATCACTGTTAGAAAAAAAGAAGTAATCCCATATGATATGAGAAGGCATCCCATGATAAGAAAAAGCCATACAATTTGACAAAAAAAAGGCATACCATGTGGACAGAGTAGGCATCACCATGTAACAAAAAAAGGGCATCCCATGTGGACAGAGTAGGCATCACCATGTAACAAAAAAAGGGCATCCCATGTGGACAGAGTAGGCATCACCATGTAATAAGAAAAAGGCATACCATTAGGACAGAGTAGGCATCACCATGTAACAAAAAAAGGGCATCCCATGTGGACAGAGTAGGCATCACCATGTGACAAAAAAGGGTATCACCATGTGAATTAGGCATCACCATGATAGTGTTGGTGGTATTAGAGAAATCATTAATGGATGAAGTAGACTTCTGTACCGGGCAATTTAACATGGGCCTTGTAATTCATTGTGCAAAACAGAAAGAAACTTGAAACATTTCAAACTGAAAACTGTGCTCACCTAGACGTTATATCTCATCCGTTAGACTACTCTTACATATTCTCAGCCCTTCCGAACTACATCACTGAGAGGGGGGGGGGGGGTCATTGTGTATCGACCGAATATTATCACTGAACCACGACGCCCCTTTCATTCATTTCATTTCATTCCAATTACTCAGATTCGAAGTCTATCAGCAATCAGTACTTTCTTTTCCATGTATTGATGTCGGAAGAAGACAGTGATAACAATAACTTTTACCGTGTGTGAGATACAAGGCTATGCTGGATCGAAGCTTTTTCCCCAAAATCGAAGACTTAACTCGAGTTTTTGTCGCTAGTTGTCATCTCAGCAAACAGATTTTGGTTGTAGAATTGATTATTTCGTCGCCATGTCAATTATGTCTATTTATCAACATTGTTCTTTAGCAAGTTTTTACCAAAGTGAGATTAAAAAGTTGACATATCTTGTCTGAAGGCAACTGAGAAATTTAGGCGTGGTTTGATTTTTAGGAAACTTTGTTTTCTCTGTCTTTATTAATCATAGATATGATGCATTTCTATGTATATAATGTATAACGTGTAGATTATTGTTTATAATTGGTACAATCAACTGACTGATGTGATTCCATGACATCTTCAGTAGCTTTCAATAAGAACCTTTAAGAAAAAGTATTTTCGGGTAATTCGAGCATATTTGAAAATAGTTTATTATATGTTCCAAAATGAGAAACTGAGATCGGCTGCAATAATCACTATGGTGTCCGTCTGGGGGACAGAATACAATTCTCCTATGGAACACATAATACCACGCTGCAGTTGGTTTTGTCTTTCTAGAATGTACGCAAAATGATGTTAGTTTGGAATATATATTGATGTATCAGATACATGTAAGGCTTGGAAGTCTTCAGGACGTCAGTTACAATCTTTACAAGTTACATCCAAACCTAGACTAAACCATGCTAATCTTCAACAACTTCATCATAATCTAAGGTTTCATAAGGTTGAACATCACGCACATTGCTTTTAAAAACATTGAATGATATTTATTTGTGAAACCTGGTTGGTTGAATCTCATAACGTCTTATCAATAAAGACAATTCCATAAATCAAAATCGAGAGTAAAAGTTGTATATGTGGTTCGGATCGTTAGTACTTGGTTTCTTCATGGAAGTGTACCATCTGGTGTTTCGAAAAGACGATATCTGGAAATGTAATTGCAACATTCATAAGTATTCCTGTTCCAAACTATTATCTCTTCAAGATATACGACGAAAACATTGATATTGTACAAACTCATACAATTCATTTCTAAAATAA